AAATAATTACTTATTATTTTTAATGCTGTTTGAAAATATGTGTTAGAAATATATATGGAAAAGAAATTCCAAACACCTATGATGCAGATAAACATTTAATTTTTTAATGTTTGCAATAAACTAAATGTTGAATGTCATGAGTAATTCATAAAAAATATTCAAGAACTAACTAATAGTTAACGCTAGTAACTAATGTATTTAAAATAATCTTGGAATCGAGTCACATTTCATTGAATCTAAATTTAAATCTAAACTTCCTAAAAAATTTTGAATTTCAAAAAATAAGTTAAATTTTTTTTTGAACAAAAATATAAATTTAATTTTTTTCATCTAAGGTGATCTTAATAATAGAAAAACATGTATACTCATTTACATGTTCATTCAATCATGAATGAACTTGTACGATGAATAATCAATCCTGCATTGTTTTGATTAATATATATTACTTGCGACGTTCACATTTTTTTCATTGGAAAAATTTTACTTTTAAATATCGTAAGTACTCAACATTGAAGATTTTACTTTTATACAAATTTAAGGTGTTAATGATTGACAATTCTTTCATAATCTAATGTAATTTTTGCATATGTCTTTCCATTCAAATTTGAAATATGATTCTAGTCAAATTATTTCTCTCAATGAGAAATAAAATTGCAAATTTTCTTATTTTTAGAAATTCTGTCATCAAATTTTTTTAGATGATATGAATTAATATTTGATATAATTATTGGATGTGAAATTGAGGATCACAAGTATATTATGTGCAACTTCAGTTGTAATTGCAAGAATACACTGATGATCATAACGTAAAATTTTTTTCATAGCCAAATTTATAGTGAAATAAATTTGGTAATTTAGTTAAATTTATACTGTATACTATATATACTATATGGTTTCAATAATTTCAAAATATTGAAAATTTGACAATAAAAAATAATCAGTTTTTACATTAAGGCTAAAAAATGCTATAAATCTAAGTTTATGCATTGATTAGATTGTGAGATCATTACAAAAACATTTTGAATTTTGTATGATTGAATCTTGCTTCAAGTTGATTTAATGTTTGATATAACACACATTTATATTGATATCTTGTATATAATAAATAGTTTTATTCTGAATTGTAAAATTTTAGATTTAAATCATTTAAATCATGAGCTGTATTTTTTTTGCTAAATTTTAACATCACCATGTATTTTATAACAGATGTAAGTAAAGTTAGTATTTCATGTGAGTTATTTTGCTCCTTGTAAATTTGGCTTTATAACTACTGGCTAAAAAAAAAAAGGTCATTAAAAAAAATGTGGACTCTTTCAAATTTTATAATTCATTGCTCCATAATTTTGAGATGATTTTAAGATACTTTCAATTCATATTAAACCTCATGAAGAAAAAAACCATTTTTTCAACTTTCTGCATGTTATGTGAATTTTTTCATTCTTTTTCAGATCTCAGATTTATGCTTATGCTATTTTCATTTGCTTTCAACAATATTAAAATAATTTATATAAATAAATAAACAAAGAAGTATAAATCTATATTATAAAAAATTATTTATATTTTTCATTTTTAGACTTAAAAAATCATTTTTTGCTTTATTCTTTAATTTTGATTTCTCATTTTCCGCTCGAAATTCGATTTAATTTTTTTTTCAAATTAAAATTCAGGATTTGAATATTATTCAAACAGATAATTGATTGAAAAATTTCAATTTATTCTAAGAATATATAAAATTTACAACGAATGAAGTTTAAAAAAACATAAATATAAAAATAAATATCATTAACCTAAATATTTCAACTCAATAAGTTTCAATAATTTTCAATAGACTAAACTTAGATTCTGTCAAAAATATCAACTCTATCAATATTTATTAGTTTTCTTATTATGTAAGAATCATTTATAATTTTGATATTGTTACAAAAATCTACAAAATAAATTTAAAAAGAGTTTTATTGATAAATTTATTTGGAAGTAATTATTTTGAAAATATGTGTTATACATATATATGGACAAAATTTCCAAACACCTATGATGCAGATAAACATTTAATTTTTTAATGTTTGCAATAAACTGTGTGTTGAATGTCATGACTAACTTATTCAAAAAAAATATTCAAGAACTAACTACTACTTAACGCTATTAACTAATGTATTTTAAATAATATTGGAATCGAGTCACATTTCCTTAAAACTAAATTTGAATTTAAACTTCCACTTTTTTGAATTTCAAAAAATTAAATAAAATTATGTTTTTGAAAAAAAAGTATGTATCTAATTTTTTTCATGTTGAGGTGATCATAATTATAGAAAAACATGTATATTCATTAACATGTTCATTCAATCATGAATGAACTTGTAAGTGAGTAATCAATCCTTCATTGTTTTGATTAATAAATATTACATGCGAAATTCAATTTTTTTCCACTGGCAAAACTTTTACTTTTAAATATCGTAAGTCCTTAAAATTGAAGATTTTATTTTTCCACAAAGTCAACGTGTTAATGATTGGTAATTCTTTCATAATCTCATGTAATTTTTGCATATTTCTTTCATGAAGAAAAAAAACATTTTTTCAACTTTTTGCATGTTCTGTGAATTTTTTCATTCTTTTTCAGATCTCAGAATCAAAATAATAAATTTAGAAATTTTTATCTATAATATAAAATAATAATTTTTTTCTTGATTTTTAAACTTAATAAATAATTTTAAGCTATATTCTATAATTTTGATTTCTCATTTTGCGCTCGAAATTCAGTTTAAGTTTTTTTTTCAAATTAAAAGTCAGGATTTGAATATTATATACACAGGTGATTGAAAAAAAATTTCAAATTATTCTGAGAATATATAAAATTTACAACGACTGAAGTTTAAAAAAATATAAAAATAAAAAATCATTAATTTCAATATTTCAACTCAATCAGTTTCAATATTTTTCAACAGATTGAACTAAGATTCATGTCAAAATTATTAACTCTATCAATATTTATAAGTTATCTTATTATGTTAGAATCATTTAAAGTTTTGATATTGTTACAAAAATCTATAAAATAGATTTAAAAATATTTTTATTCATAAAGTTATTTGAAGTAATTATACGCTAACGTTCATACCCATATACATTTTATTTCAAAACTCTTTGAAAGAGAATTATCAGACATTATTTGATACTAAAATTTTATCATTTGCTAAATAACTCTCTTTTTAAATTAATATCCAAATCATTGAAAAATACAATTATTATGACAATAGCAACTGTTGATCACAGATTTATTCTAGATACATATGAAGTTTCTAATCATTGCAGCAAGACTCTGACACGAGAATATATTTAAAAGATAAAACAGTATTCTAAAAAAAATATTTCTTTGTGTTTTAATCACAATTTAAATTTGATCTATTTTAGTTTGATTGCAGAGTGCAACTTTTTTTGCCATATTTTAGCCTAGATCATCCAGGTTGGAAATAGTAGTGACTGCAATAGGTCTTCAGGTATTGTTAGCTACAAAAATTTGGAAATTCAGACTTTCCAGTATGTGAGATATAGGTCATCTTTTTAAAAGTTTGACCTATGTTCAATTCTCTACAAACAAATGAGTATCTTGATTTGTTTACAATGAGCTAAACAAGATCATTATCATTATCATTAAATTGACAGCTATCATCTTCCTCTTATAATGTTGGCCTCTCTAGGATAGATACATCTTGAAATGGTATGATCTGATGAGAACTGTTTGCAATCCATGAGTTATGGTAATTGGCCATGTTTTGTGCTCATATGACCATTGCCGTCTCAAAATTCCATCAATCAGAACCTCGTCTCCTATCAATACTGAGTAGGTGATTTGAGTAGACATGGAGCAGAAATTCTAATTTAGACAACCAATAATCAGGGATCCATGAGTATGACATTCATATTCACACCAAGGTTTTGATCTTGTGTAACTCCCCATACCATACTATACTCTTGCAGGAGTCAGCTTTATATTCCACAACACCTGGCTAGGTGAAATACTTGTCGATATGAGATAGAATGCATCTGAACCGGACCAGAGTCTACAAGTCTTCAACAGTGAACTGTACAAAGTGGGTGACATGAACCTCAATCACGATTTCTGAACTCATAATAGTCTCGAGGTGATTGATTACTCGAGATCATAGTGGAAAGTGGAAGGTGGTGGTCAAGCTGCAATTACAGTTTGAATCAGATCAGGTTTGACACCAAATTGTGTCTTCGGAACTGACGATTATAGGTGGAGTCAGATCATTCTGTTATTTCCTCCCAGTCTTTTTGGATCAGTGACAAGTTGTGTACTCATTAACAGGGATATATGTAGGACCGTCAGTACAGTTGGAATTTCTGTTAGCGATTAAAACGTGCATATATCAACGTTCAGTGACTAAGTATCAGACCTGTTGAAGATCATAAATTAAGATGGATTCTTTTGCTTATAGAATTGAATAATAGTCGAGGTTTTGTGTAACGATTCTACTTGTATCGTCAAGGCTTTTTTAATCTTTTAAGCTGGAAGGCTAGAACACTCGCTAAAACTGTGGTACGTACTGATTGTAGCTTCTACAGGATGAAGGGAATCATATAATTCTATAGAAGGCAAGTTCAAGACAAATGCTGTAACAATCTATATTCCAAGCATACAGATGAACTAATCGAAGCTAAGCTATTGGTTTGATTCATCGCTTTCCGCATGAATAAGCATAAGCTTAGTGGAGAGAGTCAGGGACATTCTAAGAGAAAACTGGCCGCTAAGTACCGCAAATGCACATCAAAGAACGCTTCTCAGAAGTTCTTCCTAAATATATACGTCAGGTTAAAGTATAGTTACCCACCGTGTAAGTGAAGGGATTTCATCATGGTGAGACTTGCAACAAGCCCCACTTGAAACATGGTCCTCAAAATGTAATTATGATTATTCAGCCATATACTGATCATCTTCAGAAACATAACTCCACGATTGATATGATTGCATAAAAAAGACATGTGAACGTGAAAACACGAAGGAGGATTTTGCAGAGCGTCACATTGCATGAGTGTCTGAACATATGCTTGTCATTTGCATCATGACATTCTAAGGTCTTCAAATTCCTAACAAAATGCCTGTTCTAAGACCTTCATTCATGCACTCCTCGCACACCCATGCATGCCCACCTAGTTCTTGTCTCACGTATTTCACCTGATACAACTTGAAGGTTGCCGAATACCTATCTCGAAGCTGTGGCGCAAGAGTTTGTTGAATCCTCGACCATGCTTCTCTCAGCTCCTTGCTTTCCCCAACTTTTGAAACTGCATTACGATCACGATCGCTAATGCCATGTAACTTAACAATATCAGATTTCAAATCTTCCCACTCCAGAATTGCTTGGCCCAACCCGAAAGTCACATCCAATCCAGCCTTCACAGCATAATATATGAATTTGAATGAGATTTCAATAGTTTTTTGAATCCATTCACAATCCTTCCAATCCAAGCGTATCTTCAAACCTTCTTGATCTCTGACAGGGTGAAACCCGGTCGCGGACTCACACATCAAGTGTAAGCGGACGGTTGTCCCGGCATGCAAAGTAGCACTCATCCTATAGAAAAAGCCAACATTGTTCGTAATGTAAGGTCGCTTGGGCGTACTGGAATGCTGCAACGTTTGTGAATACTCAAGAACCCTGTCCACTTTGGACATGAAATCACTCCGCGTTGACTGCAGTTCTTTTTGCAAAGAGAGTATCTGTTCCACCTTCATCTCCAATCTCTGCAAAATTTTCTGCATTGATCTCAACCTCTCATCAACACCATCAACTTTTTGTGCTAGATTTTTTTCTACCTGATCCATCTTTTCCAAAACAAGTCGGGTATCAAGGTTTTTCACACTTGTGCTCACCCGACTTATGCAACTGGATGAAGGTTGATTGGAATCTTTCACATCAGGAAAATTTGCATGGGTAACCACGTTCTCATCTTCAGGGTAAGAATGAATCAAATCTTTGTTCACTTCCTCTAAACCTTGCTGCAATGACCCCAATTGTTGGATAAGGTCTTGCTGAAATGACTCCAATTGTTGCATTCGCTTCTGTCGGATTTCATTCACAACCTCTTCCACATCGCTCTCCCACAACAAATCCCTAGCTCTTTCGGATATAACCTTTGTTGTGTATCCTTCAATCAAGGGCCAAGAGTGCTCATAGTTGAACAACTCATCCTCCTTCTCCAAGTGAGACTTATCCAAGGGAATATCCTCAAGTTCGCCATTGATGCTACGAATGAAATTCGATTTGAGTTTCTCGATTAGAATTGCCCCTCTCATGTGACTCGGAATCAGGATCTCCACGCAAAGTGTTTGTATCACACCGAGCACTAACGTCACCCCGGGAGAGCCTTTGGAGGATGCGCAAAATGATATCAACTCCTTGACGAAATGCTTCATCACGAATTTCACAGCAACCTCCCTTGACTTATGCTTCGAGCATAACATCAGAACATCCACGTATTTCTTGGACCTGTCTTGCTGGATATAAATTTCATGTCCGTCAATGACAAGTCGCAGATAATGTCGAGAGTAGATCATAGTCTTCTCGGAAACATCCATCTCCAATATCAACTTCCGTCTCATGAACATCTACAATGATAAAAATTTTGGTAAATAATCAGCTGCGCATTCCAAAATTGAATTCAACTAACGAAAAGTTAACACTTCATTCATCGTACACACGTTAGAATCAAAACTCAATGCATTTAATTTTCTCACAGTATATATGAAATCACCTGGAAGCATGGGAAAAAACCAGCAGTCAGTGACATTGTTCTTTCATCTTGGCATTGAATCCGAATGCCAACAAACTTTGAAGTCTCATCCCTAGAATCCCAACCCATCGATTCCACGTGCGCCAATCCTTGATGATCCTGTCCTTCAGTGCTTGCATGCTCAGGTATGAAAGAGGGAATGAAGTATCTGAATGAATGAATGAATGAAGAGGGAAGAGAAGTATCTTCCACCTTGAAACACAAATCTAAATGGATAAGGATGTTTTCAATCACCTTTCTGTCCACAAATTTCTTTCTAGGTGACTGTTTTTCCAGAAACTTGTCTATCAACCAACCAAAGTCTCTCTCACTCACAAATCCGTCCTTGCTTGCAAATGAGTCACGTGACATCCTTTTCTCAAAAGTTGGAGTCTCAAGAGCTTGAAAGTCTTGACCCAGCGCTACAAGCTCACCTAATAATGTATGTGTGAGCCAGTTTGGATCTACAATGATGTGATCAAAGTTAGGAATAGAAATGATGGATCCAACATCATTCAAATATGATGTGATTGAAATTTGTATCCTTGAATGATCAAAGGCTTGAGCAGAAGAGGATGAAAGAAATTGTGTCAAATGGGGAGCACAGAATTCACGAAACTCTTGGGATGACAAAAGAGGGCCACTTCTATTCTCCTTGGTGTTTTTAACCAAGAGTGACGAGAGTTGAGAACACAAGTAGGGAACTTGTGGAGATTTTTTTTTCAAAAACTTCTCAAAGATCTCAAAAATATGATGTTTGAGAGGAATAACTTGCTTATTTTTTCGAGCATCCACATGACAACACTCTTGAATAGGGTGGATATACACAAATCTTGCAAATCTTTCAGAGAGCTTGTTCACTATGAACTTAACCCAACTCAAAGAACTGTCTATGGCCTTATCCTTGTGTGAAATCACAACAAGAACTTGTGGAAGATTATGTCCGATAACCCTCGTGCTGGATGTGATGAAACTCAACCATTCCTCCAACTCTGTCTCAAAATCAGATTCTGCTTTGTTCGAAGATGTGATCTGACAGAATGGGCTATACACAAATAGAAAAACACAAAAATTGCTACTTTGAGGGAAAAGCACACTTTGAAGGGTACGGAAAATCTCTTGTCCCGCAAGATCCCAAATTGAGATTTGACCTTTGTCATTGTTTTGCAAAAATTCCACTTCAATTCCTTCGGTCCTCCTCCTCCTTAATTTGGCCCATGGCTTTTGGTACCATTTTTTTCCGTGTACCAATGTTTGACGTAATTGAGTCTTGCCTATAAATTGAATACACATAACCACAACAAAAATAAGTTGTTACTTGAGAGATTGTCTAAGATTAAATCATACCATATCTTTAAGCATGTTAATCAGAGTGAGAAAAAATCGGATTTTCAAATCAAATTTGAAATTATTTTAAAATACATTATTTAAATTGGAATTTATTTGCATTTCACTTTTCGTTTCTTATATTTTCGTTTTCTATTTCACACAAATCCAATACCATCTAGATAAATTAATAAACTTGATAATTTAATCTTAACTTTGAAAAGTAAAACCTCATATTGCTAGTTCAAAAAAAACTGAAAGCTTGCAGAGCAAGTTACCTGCAAGAGGAGAGCCGCATAAGAAGAGCCGACCAGTTTTTGCATCTCCAAATGTTAATTTGGCTTCGCGGAACACGGACATGTAGACGGCCCGTTGCTGGTTTTGCTTGAGGGCCTCATCGATCAACGTCGCCTTTCCGTCCCTTGCCCATGAAGTTCCTCTGACATCTATTTTTTGGAATGTCAAGTTCACTTGGAGTAGCTCCATCAGGTCTCTGAAAGTTTCTTCGTCGAGTTTAGATTTAGACAAATCCAAGTGAATGAGACTTGTGTTCCCTCGCAGGCACAAAAACAGGTCCTTCAGCAGTCCCTTCCAAAGATCATTGCTTCCAACCCGTAATCCGAGTTTCTTCAAGACGGAAGTTTCTCCAGTTTTTCCATTCATGGAAAGGATACTTTCCGGTTGGTTGTTACCTGAAGTGTCAATCGATCCCGCCAAGATAGTGAAAGATTTCAGAGATTTGATTTCTCCGCGCAGTACCCTACCTAATAGGTTTACTGATAACATTAACTCATCCTCATTCCGAATAATGAGTTCAAGCTTCACTACGGGGTCCTTGACTTCGGAGCTAGCAGCACACGCAAGAGCTTCTATTGACTGCCATTCAAATGTATCAGAGTAAATTCTAAAGCATGTTGCTCTAGCCTTGTCACGTATGAATTGGCCGAGCTGGTGCCATTCCTCAGAACTCATCTCTACGCGCTCCAACCTCACTTTCTTCAATGATGGGATGGAGGTAAGAACTTCCGTTAAACAGCCTCCGAGTCTATCCACAACCCCCAGCCGAAGACGTTCAATGGATCGGTTGCCATCATCTCCGGCCAAAGCTTTCAGCAACAAGGCCGCTCCCCACTCCACCTTCTCTAACCCCAAGCATTTCAAAGACGACCTTTGAATCAAAGCATGGGACAGGATTCCAACGTACTCCTCCTCAATAGCTCCCATAGACCTTAACCTCAACTCTTCTAATCGAGGAGCACTGTTGATCATGTCGGCCACATGCTTCACGGCACTCGAGTCCTCCCACGCGTCATCTAACTCTAACCGCTGGAGTTTAGAATCGGAATTTCCTCGCAGTCCTGAGGCGAGATTCAAGAAACATCTGGCACTCAACTTGCAATTTTCTATTCTCAATACTTGTACGCTAGAGGAATTCAGAATTCTCCCTATCAGTAAACAAAAGCTCTCCACTTCCTCATCTGAAATCGAGCTCTCAACTTTCCTATTATAGGAAAAGTTGAGGCATATCTTTTTTATAACGGTGCTAGACATGAAGCCTCTGAGAACTACCTCCCACTCGCTTGCCGTCAACATCGACATATTTCTCCGACAAATACCAACATAATCTAGATTCTCAAAGGTGTTGCAGTTGCCGATTGCCTCCAGCACTCGAAGGCGCACTTTGCTTCGCCACCCTGTGATCGTCGAGAGCGATGCACGCTTCGGAAAGAACTTCCGCAATTCTCGCTGTCGTAAATAGGGAAGCGTCGTCATAGGCTCGCCTTTTCCTTCCAGACGCCATATAAGGTCCTGGACAGCGAAGGGAAGCTCCGGTTCCTCGTATGCAGAGTCCATTCCCCGTGTCTCAGCAGCGTGACTGACTATGGACGCACCTGCACCTTCCATTCTCTCCTCCACTCGCACAGAGTAAGAAACGTTTGCTGCTTGGCATGCGCGAGCGAAATGTCACCTGGCCTACAGGAGACCTCCTCCTCGATCCAAAGGACCAGCTCACCCGAAGAGCACTAACTTCCCGTCGCACTGTCACAACTTGTGTGCATGTGCGTGTTGGGCATGACACTTCTTGCACTCTGCATGAGGAGATACACAAAGATTAATCTTACCTCTGCAAACAATCGGATCAAGAGCAATCACAACAAACGCAGGGAGATTGCGCTAACTAGAAGTAAGAGGTTGTTCGCACTCACTGCAGGGCAAGACAAGCTATGTGAATCAGAATGAACACAAATAACCACTATTTCGATTCCAAATCAAATCCTAGAGTTTGTGCAAAGGGGACTTCAAACCTATTGTGAAGTCGAGCGGAAAGAGCTGGTTGATTTGCACTGGTGACCCAATTGAGTGGACAAGCTCGAAGCTCTGCAGGTGAATCTGAAATCCAAAAAGCTGGTTCGTAACAAAGATGAAGCTATGTGGTCTCAGAATGTCATGGAAAGCATGGAATCGCAAATATTAAAAATGTGAAGTACTCTGCCTTGTGTAAAACTCCAGGTCTAATTGGACGGGGAAAATGCGAATCTAGCTGGACGGGGAGAACGCAGAGAATGCGAATCTAGCTGCGTCAACACCCACGGGGAAGACAGACCCTCCGAAGTGTAGCGCGTAGAAATTTGCAGCTTAAACTTCAGATCTTCTCTTTAGATTGTGGATGATCGAGGTCAAGACAACAAACGAACACAACAAGCGTGGTCCTCCATACTCGTTTTGATTGGAAAAGTTTCTTAGAAGGTCAAAGTAAGTCTTGACGTTGTTGTGCAAGCGAACGTGATAATTGAGTGAATGCATCAGTGCGCTGATACACGCGATGTCGTCACGCTGAAAACAGAGATTTCAATCGTCATCTTCATTGAATGCTTTTTCCTGGAATCTGTGGCCTATTAAAGCAATTTTATGTAGTCTGACAACTGAAAGGCACATGGGCAGTCATGGGTAGTCAGCAGGGTGGGCAAAGCCTGTTGTGCTTTTTTCTTGCTTTGAAGATGCGGACAGAAGGCTGCATTACTCTACTCAACTCGTAGGTTCAGAACAAACTGATAAACGTTTTGGGTGTGTACTAAACATAATGTCGAAGACTGTGTACAGAGTATACGAATACTCGAGGTTCTCAACTGCTGGTATGGTTGTTCTTTCTCAGGTCGTATAAAATCCGACAGAACCAGCATGATACTTGCTAAGGTCGACGTCAATCCTCTCAAGAATTTACATTTTTCGAACTTGGTTGCAAGTGAAGGAGAACTGTGTTGTATACATGAGATGAAAAACACCTCATATGATTAATGTTAGGCAACAATGACTCATGACTTGAGAATGGAGATCTCGTTTAAAGTCTGAAGGAGAAGACAAACTCACATTTATACTCAAATATTTGATATATATAAACGAAAATGAAACAAGGCATACTGTACATTTTGCACTCCTGTGCTCATATCATAAATCAAATGAGAAAATTAGAGCACATTACTCACCCCATAAAACCGCTGACACGCAACAGTGTGAATTATGTCTTCAGTTTTCTCTCTTTTTATTCACCTTAAATTTGTTACAAAATTTGAAATTGTGATTATATACCTTTCTGTAAGATGTCTAGTATGCTTTGCATCTTTATTTGATGATACTTCCTATATCAAAATGCTAACTCTTGAAAAAGATCTTATATATTTTATCGGACAGAACACTTTTCAACAAAAATTACAGCATTATATTTTTCATAAGAAATCTTAATTGCCTTAACTTTACATATTTGCTGTTTTAGTTTTTTAATATTTTTGGCGCTTTGATTCTTCGGCTGTTTTATTTACATGTATCACGAAGAATAATCTAACTTAATTGAACTCTTATAATATAAATCCACTTATGAAATATATGTAAATGAGTTTACGATATTTTTAGCAAGGTTTGATCCACGAGGTGATCATTACATAGTAAATAATTTTTTTAAGTGTATATCAACAACATACTTACACACACCAACTTTCTTTATGTGTTTAACCCTAAAGAGATAAAAAGATGATGAAAAAAATCATTTGAGAATATCTAATAATGATTTACTCTCTAGTTTGTCCCTCATTAAGGTTAAAATGCAGTTATATATCCCCAAAAAAATAACATTCTGCGAAATAATTACAAACAGCTTGGAACTCAATTTTACTTGACAAGTTATTATTTTGCTATTTTGTTCCCATGTATCCCACTATGGTTACCGCCCAGAAATCTTGAATTTTGCAACTGTACATTGATGTACTTCAAGAATTTTACTAAAGTGTTTGGTTGATACTCAACTATTGCATTCACATGGTTAGTAGAGACTCTTATTTGATAGTTTCAGAAGAATTGCTTTTGCTCACAATAGCCTAGACATGGAAATGTCTTGCACTCACTCACTCTTTTGGCATTAACTTTTAATAACGTCTTCTAGCAAATTCACATAATACTTTTTATTTTTCAGTGGTCCACAAATTTAAACATATCTTAAAATTTGTTTGATCTCAATTGAAAATTGTAAAGTTTACTGTTTTTTACTTCAATCCACTGAAGATGCTAGGCTTGCCAATTCAATACTTTGTCTAAGACTAAGTTCTCACACAAAATATCACATTGCTAACAAGTACAAGGCACAAGACAATGGCTTGACTGCAGAGTCAAACTGAATTACGCCACCTGCTGCTTCTCTTCGTTTTGAATACACATATAGAGCAAACTCCAGCTCAGTTGAATATGCAAGCCTCTTTTTTCTTTTGGCGTCTTCACTGCATCTAATGCACACAAGAGTAACGTGTATATTGGAAACCGGTATATGACGATTAGTGATTCGTTAGTCTGACCGCATGCGTGAAAACGAAGTTTTGAACATGAAACTACGCAGCTTGTTCTCATCTTCTGCACATCCTACACAATTTTCAAGAGCATCACCGCTTGCCAGGTTGCTTTTCAGGTCTCTCCTAGAATCACGGAGTATTCTGTCCGGCTACACAATTTTCAAGAGGATAACCACGTGGCAGTTTGCTTTTCAGGTCTCGTAGAATCACGAAGTATCCTGTCCGGCTACACAATAGTCAAAAGCATAACCTCGTGCCAGATTGCTTCTCACGTCTCTCGAAGAATCACGAAGTATCCTGTCCGGCTACAGTTATGGGTGAGTACTATCAAGTTGATGGGTAGGAAAACAATAACAAATAATTGAGTATAATAAAAAAATAACAGAATTGCAGATATTACCACAAGTACGATGTTCATGGATAATTGAGAATGATTCTTCGGAATGCTCTCAAACACCTAACATCGCCAAAGTGAATTCTACCAGCATCTCTTAAGCACAACGTGACTGCTGTCTTGATGCTTGTTCCTCTGGATTGCAGCGTATGGGTCTCAGGAAGAAATTATTCACCATGTGGGTATGAATGAAGAGTTATTACGCTGCTGAGTTCGATAGAATTTGATGTTCTTTGTTTGCTCGCAGTTCAGAGCCAGTCCGTAGGATGCTGAAGGAAGATTGAAGAGCTAACTCCGAGTATCATTCCGCGAGAAAGATGGAAGATCGTATCATCTTGGAGAATATTTGGAGCTTCCAGATAGCCATAGGTCTTCAAGATATTCTAAATTTGAGAAAAATAACATATAATAATTTAATTTAGTTTATATTTCTAATCTCGGATAGTGGCATGACGGAATTCTTGACTCGGAGTGAGTGGTGGGATTTGGTATGAGCTGTCTCCCAACGTCTACTGGTTGTAAAGGAATCTTGAGTATTTGTCATATCCTCCCTAACTTAAGTTTCCTATTTATCCTTAAGTCTTAATGTTAAGGTAAGACTTCGAAGTATCTTTCATATTTCCTAGGGAAATAAAATTGCGAAAAATTGTGCATTTTTTCAAAAGAAGTGTGCATAATAGGCGTCCATTTAGTGGTCACCTTTTATGCCTCTTGTGTGTCTATTTAGTGGACAGGTAAAACATCCATTTTTTGTATCGAGCCAAAGTTGCAATCTGATTCTTGATAATTTCATTCTCAACTCAAAACTCCCAAAATGCACAATTTTTCGCGATTTTATTTCCCTAGGAAATATGAAAGATACTTCGTTTGCGTTGCGAAAAATTGTGCAATTGAAGTTGAAAGTCCTTTGGGATCATGGAAAACAAACACAGGTCTAGCAAGAACAGAGAAGAGTATGAAAGAGGGAGAGTGGTAGACGAGACAGCTGAGCAACTTCTTGTGCAATTGAAGTTTTGAGGTGTAGATAAATTTATCAAGAATCAGATTGCAACTTTGGCTGGAAATGATGAATTACAAAGAAAGGATGACTTATCAGTGTTCAGAGTTGTTTTCTAATGTAACTTAAAAGTACAATTACCCTGTTGCGTGGTTGGTGCGATTGAAACGATCGGGTAGTGCAGTTCAGCTTAAAGAGGGTTCAGCTACTCGCACTCAAAAATGTTGAAACGCCTCTAAATGGCACAAAGACCCCTTAACCCAGACCTCCTGAAAAGTGGCATTTTCTTAAAAAGTGTCACTTTTGCCACAATTAAATTTGGGTCGATGTCACAATTAAGCCTTTGAGCCCGTGTTTAGTGTTAGTGTTTCTGAGCGATTGTGTACAGAAATCCAAGTAAGGCATGATCACCTGATGGATCTAATTTTCGAAAGAAAACAGAATTACATATATGGCGAAAGTTATTACAATTCTAATGCCAGAATATTCTGGGTATGAAACCGAGTTTCTCCCCCTAGGTAGCGGTCGGCCCGGCTCGGCTGGAGCCGGCTCAGCTCGATGCCGATTGCCATGACAGAAGCCGGCTCGACTAAGTCGTAGCCGAGCCGGTCTGAAGCCGGCTCCGCCGGAGCCGAGCCGACCCCTAGTGAATCACTACTGCAAAATGATGTAACATCTTTTCTTAACAACAATAACAATTGGTTACCAGGTGAAAGATCCACTTAACTATTCTGCCTCTGAGACGAAGATATAGAGAAATTTTACTGTGAGCCAATCTCTTTGCGTGATCGATACCATGCTGACCTGTGATCCATTAGCGGTAAATCGCCTGTCAAGAAGCCGGCTTGAGCCGCTCTCCCAGAATCGAGCCGGCTCCGTAGCCGGCTCAAGCCGGAGCCGGGCCGACCTCGTCACCGGGCGGAGCTCGCGTTCCCCTTTTCTGAGGAGCCCTTAGTGACGAGGCGGGCCGACCCCTACCCCTAGGATTGAAGACAGGTGATATCACTCATCTTCGGATGAGGTTTTGAGGAGGAATACAGTTCACGTCTCCTGGATTTTGGAAGTTGTCACTATTCAGTTGAAACCTCGTATCCTCATCGTTTGGATCACGGACTTCTAATTCATTTCTTCTCATCCTCACCGTTCATGGAATCTTCTAAATTCATGGCTTTAGGTGTCCGATGAATAACATGAGGGCGGAACCGAAGTTAACCAAAACAGAGAAACCACCCTGCCTGCCTGGCGTTCTCGTGAAATAAGCTCAATCTCTTATGGTTTCAAGACTGTCACATCAGTTTGTCAATACAAATGCCACTTTTCTGAAATGTTGGACGCCACAATTAACGAAAAGGTGGCAAAATTAGCAAATGCCACTATTAAGGAGGTCTGCCTTAACCCCATACCGGAGATTCAGAGTAGATTATACGCAGCCGCGAACCTCCTTCCATCACGCCGTGATGACCAAAGCCTAAACGAGTAAAAAATCCTGGGAAAGATTATTCAAGTACAAGTGCGCATTTGGGAGGAAGTTGATAGTGGTGAATTTCTGCAGTGGATAGCATTAAATACTCTTCTCGTGTCATTAACTGACACAAAGCGATTGCATTGCTTATATGAATGATTTTGACGATAAAACAGACCACCTTCCAAGGTGAAAAGTACTACCAGTCTCCTAGTGCTTGCCCCATCTTTATTCTCTCTCCATTCGCTACTGTGAATCTAAAATTTCTACTCTCAGACCGGGATTTTTCATGAGCTGATAACTCTTCTGTCTCTTCTGAAGGTGCTTCAAACACAAGAACCACAGTGGATCCAAGGTTAAAAACTGCCACCTGTACACAACACATGAATCAAGTAGAAGGTCAGAACAGATGAGAGACCAGGTTCATTCGGCACTGATATAAGAACAGACGTCTGGCAAAATTCTCAGGTCAATGAGAGGACAGAACTGTGTTTGAAAATAGGATAGTTTGCAAGCATACCTCTTCCCCTGCTTTCACATTAAGACCATTTTGTCCATAAGTGCGTGAGTTTATGGTGGCCAAAGATAATCCTACTTTTGGAATATTTGTTTTCAGCTCAGGTTCAAACTTCAACTGCAAAATTGAGATGCCTTTGTCAGAAACTTACACGATTTATCATCATAGTTCTGAAACGATTCACATGTTCGATGTGATTTAAAAAACAAGCGACAAAATCAAGGTCATACAAGACGGGTCAGACCTCTATTGAACCGACATTGGTTGCGCCAACAGCTGCCATAGCCATGAAGCCCTGCGACCATCTACCTTCTAATACCACCTGGTTGAAAAAAATTGGGTCAGAGATAATAAAATGATAAATGAAGTAAACAGTGGTTTTCGATGAGGAATGAAAACTACAGCAACCCAGTAGCACTTCAAAATTACAATTGGTAACTTTAGGAGCACAATGTTCGTATGAATGCAAAACCTGAATTTGTCTCAATCAGCATCTAGTAAAACTGAGCGAAGCACAACAACAACCCATCCAAATTTAAATATTCGTTGACAGGACTAGCCTCTTCCCCTGTTTTCGGAAGGGAATCTTCGTTCAACGTGGATCAGTTGCACTACGTCAGTTGACTGTCCTTCTCTCGACCCCATTTGTCCATATTCGGATGTTGAAATCAACGATGCTGCTCATATTCTCACCGAAGGCACGATCTTTTACATTTCTAGAAAAACTTTTTAAAACTAGGTTGGATTAAAGGAACACATTGAACTTGAGATATAACCGCTACTGCACCTTCTTACTGCATGATATTATTGAACAGTCATGGCATATTTCCTTGATAGCAGTTTGGATTTCACATTAGATCTATAAGATATTCAGCTTTCATTGAGACCACAAACCAAGAACAATTCATACATCTATATTGAGAAGAATCCATTTCTTTCCAAATTGCACAGAAACGACAAGCAACTGCACCAGATTGTAATCTCACTCCTCTACACGCACCACAACTGCCACATAATGAAGTTCAGAGACACCTACCAGCACTGCTGAAGGTGCTAGAAGTAGGAGTAGTCATCCGGAGAAACGATCGAGAAAGCATGAAGTTGGCAATAAGTCAAAGATGACCCTCGTCACACTTCTGCAGTTGGTAAATTCAACCCCAAATCCTGAACAGACGGCAGTAAGTTAGGTGAAGAAATACGCAGCTTCAGGCAATTGAAAGTGCATCAGCTCTGCGTCAGGATGCGACGAAGCTCTTAATAATCATCATAGTGAAAATCTCCTTGACCGTGATTACGCAGCGTAGCTCAAGTGAGGACATCGCAAACGGGGCAGGAAAGTTGAAGGCAGAAACTCGCGAAAGTTTTGTGACTCTCCTAGCCAGCGGGATCTTGAGGCCCGTGTAGAAATATTAGGCTTGGCCACGGTCCGGTTAACGGTTAACCGGTCCGGGAAATGTGCGGACCGGTTAACCGGTCCAATTAACCGGTTAGTTAACCGGTCCGGCATTTTGCCATATAGGTTAACGGTTAACCGAGGTTTTAACCGGTTAACCATCTGTCCCGACGCTACGTGGCCGACGGGAGGGGCTGGGAGCGAAGGAGGAATTGCGCGATAGCTCGAGGACTCAAATGAGCCCCCACTCGGACTGTTGAAAATCCTCCCGGTTGAAAACGCTCTCGAATTGGAGAGACTTCGACTTTGCGCCAGGGAAGCTGGAGAAACACATCCAAGCTCGAGATTTATGCTAGGGATTATCCACTTATCGAATTGGGTGATCAAAAAAATTTACTTATTTATTTGCAGCAGAATTAGACCAGCGAGCCTCGCTGGTCTAATTCTACTGCCAGAGGAAATTCTTTTTCCCCGGACCGGTTAACCTAAGCCTGCCTAAGAAATTTGGCCAAGCCTAAGAATGTTGGCCAAGCCTAAGAAATATTGCGTTAGGGAACTTCATCCAGGTCGAAAACCCGGAACCCAGTAAGAGTGATATAATTATCAGTAAAGAATCACTTAATGAATTGGTACAAATTACACTCCGAGGAATACAAAGGCAGAGACTATGACGCATTTGCAAATCACCACGTGGAACAAGAGTAGCGAGCGTGAGGCGCAGGGCGATATCATGTTGAAGTGTTGAAAGGCTAATAGATGCTGTCCTATCACTGCGAGTTAGTTCTTCTGTGGATCGAACAATTGATGCCAGTCGAGGTCACTTCTTAGAGTATCAGGACTAGCGGAATAGAAAAAGCACAAAATCATCCAATTGTCAATCTACAGCATTTGCTGTAGATTGCTGCTGCAGAATTCAGGTAATTGCCACCTCATACTCAGGCCTCACTTCTCGAATGTACTCTCTCTCATCGTCTCGACTTCGAACTCGTCCAAGCTGTCCAGCTGCAATGCAGCCAGAGAGACAAGCGACTCGAGGAACAGAGAAATTTCTCTGTGTGCAATTCAAACACGTCCACGTCGGCGTTGACACACTGAGCTGGGAAAGCGCATTTGGCGTGCGCAAGAAAGCGAGCAGACAGCATGGAACGGCGGCCCGCTCTGCCAGACAAGCAATGGGCTGAACACGAGATCACATACCGATTCCACAGACATCTTCGTCCGGAGGACGTGGCGCTCAGGACTCTCGGCCCGAGAGTCCTGAGCGCGAAGTGTGGGACGACAGGGAGGCTAGGCTTGGCCACGGTCCGGTTAACCGGTCCGGAAAATTTGTGGACCGGTTAACCGGTCCAATTAACCGGTTCACCGGTCCAGGATTGGTCCCCATCGGTTAACCGTTAACCGATGCTTTAACCGGTCCCGACGGTTAACAGGTTAACTATCGGTCCGGACCCTACGTGGCCGATGGGGACGGGCCGAGGGGATTTGGGTCTGGGGAGCGATGGCGGAGGGAAAGAGGTGTGCCGCGACTCAAATGAGCCCAAGGTTCCACTTTCAGAGTTCAGAACTCGGGCTGAGTTGTACGAATTTGTGAGAAAAAGTTTTCGTGAATTTTCTCACACTGAGTCATTAATTGGATACCTCGCTGGTCTGATTCTGCTTCTAGAGGAAATTTTTTTCCGAACCGGTTAACCGATCCGGAGAAATCTGACCTAACCATCGGGACCGGTTAACCGGTCCCCATGGTTAACCGTCGGACCGTATCGTGACCAACCCTAACGGAGACCCTGAGTACAGGGCTCCCTAGCGATAGCGCGCGAGGTGTGGTATGATAGAGCTCATGACCAGTTATATATTTATTGTTATACACATTAAATATAATTAAAAAAATCTGAGTTACGATAAAAAATTACTTTATTCATTATTATATGAATTTGTTATAATTTACTGTGAAAAAATTATAAAATATTATAAAGTTAGAAGTTGAAAATAAATATATTATTATGTGATTTTAATAAAAAAAAACTTCATATCATGGATATGTTAATATTCTTAACTTAATAAAATTTTGGTTGGTTTCATTGACTAGAGACTTACAAGATTAGACACGAAAATTAAGTAAATGGAAAGTTGGAAACCTAAAAGATCAAAATGAACAAATTAAAATATCTACTATATGAAACTTTGCTATGAATAAAGTTGGAAATAAATTAATTAAATTTAGTATCTACTATACAAAATTTTATAAGTATGAAAGTAAAATACCAATCACCAAGCAAGTTTTGGGACTGAAGTTTCACATGGAGTAAAATATTGATCATCAATGAAAATTTTTTACATTGAAATCGAGTTTGAGTCTGTGTGAGAATTAACATAAGAGTGTGCAATTAAAAATAAGATTGTTTATGTTAGTGAATATAAGGTGTCATGTCATCATGTTGGAACAAGTGTTTGTAAACTCATCATAAGCTTTTGAAAAAGCCTCAACCTAAATCCTTAAACCTATTATTCTGGATATCACTAGCCAAAGATGAGAAAAATGTTGCATCCTATTTTACTTTTAAAATTTATTCTTACGTAAGAATTGGACAAATATTTAATATCATGTCAATATACTATGACATACTAAAACATTTTGGATTCATGATTTTATTACGGATGTCCATGATGTCTATGAAAGTATTTCAAGTGTGATAAAAATGTTAAGAAAAATAAAAGGCAAAGATGTTTGTCTTCCTGCCATTTCTTATATCAAATGCTCAAAAACCTTGCTCAAATAATATAATGAAAACGCTCATGATCAATTTATGCTTGGTAAATTTATAGATTTTGAGATTATTGTGCAGATAAGATAGGATATACGAAAAAGTATAGCAATATTGGATGAGAATTCACTAAACGTCATATGTGCGAGTTTTAATCCAGCTAACATTACTAGAATACATTAAATTTTTTTTGGATATAATACATACAAAACCATGCTTTAGGAGTTCAAAATATAGAAAAAGAAACTTGCATTTGAAGCAAAGATAATACTGGAGACATTATATTATTACATCATAAAAATAACATACCTTCTATCATTCAAAATAGTTCAAAGAAATCAACTAGGCTTCAAGCCAGATCTTCTGTTGAAGAGTGCAGAAACATACTAGTACTAAGTTATTTATAATTGAATGGCCATGTGGGTATCATAAATGAACTATTCATGATCATGGCTTACAAGTGAATTTTTATTATTGGAAGTTGTTATTTAAGCTCTATATATTAGAATATTTTATAATAGTGGATGATTCACATGCACACAATGATGACAAGTGTACGTATGTTAATAGTATATTCAAATTTGAAGCCTATTGAAATTTTTCGTTAATGAGATACACTAAATACTTCTCAATCTCTACTCCAGCCGCTGAGGAATGGAGACAAAGATGTGAATTCATGTTGTAACTCTTGAATTAAAACATCTGTCAGATATTCAATATTATATGCAAAGATATACGATTTTATTCATATCCTCTTCAAATATGTTTCCATTTATGATCAAATTTTATATTATAAGGAAAGTGTTCAAAATAGGTATTTAAAATGTAAGAATTTATAATAAATTATAAATCAAAATGTATTTTATTTTTCTGATCTTATTAACAGTATTTAGTTATAAAATAATTTAAATGAAAATAAAAATATTTTTCATAACTATATACATTTTATATCAAAACTCTTTGAAAGAGAATTATCAAATATTATTTGATACTAAAATTTCATCATTTTCTAAATAACTCTCTTTTTAAATTGATATCCAAATCATTGAAAAAAATAATTATTATGAAAATAGCAATTGTTGATCACAGATTAATGCTAGATACATATGAAGTTTCTAATCATCGCAGCAAGACTCTGACACGAGATAAAACAGTATTCTAAAAAAATAATTTCTTTGTGTTTTAATTACATTTCATATTTGATCTAGTTTAGTTTGATCGCAGAGTGCAACTTTTTTTGCCATATTTTAGCCTAGATCATCCAGGTTGGAAATAGTAGTGACTGCAATAGGTCTTCAGGTATAATTGGCTACAAAATTTTGGAAATTCAGACTTTCCAGTATGTGAGATATAGGTCATCTTTTTAAAAGTTTGACCTACGTTCAATCTCTACAAACTAATGAGTATCTTGATTTGTTTACAATGAGCTAAACAAGATCATTAGCATTAAATTGACAGCTATCATCTTCCTCTTATAAGAGACAGACAGGTCTGTCTCTTATAAGAGCTGATATATCCTTAGCTGATAACCTATTGGGATTAACCAACCTAGGAAACTCAGACTCGGGACCGATGCGGAAGGTGTCCGAATTCAGTCCATCTCTTTGTATATGAATAGAAAGTGATCGTTCTCGCCTGCAAAGTCCAATTATCACAAGAGTGAAACTTAGACAAGCCAAAAGTACGTCAGGTGCAGGCCCCTCTCAGTGCTCTCCGTCGCCTCAGCAAACTCCTTGAAGTAAGGGGAGAAGAGGACTTCCTAGTCTTCTTCTTGGGGAACGCTCACTGTAGCAAGTAAAGATACCACAGCCGAAAAATGATCCAATCGCCTCAAACTAATCCACTCAAGATCTATTTAACTGACAAGGAAATCAGAGTTCTGTTTAGTTTAGTTCTGTTAAGAGCAAGCAGTTTGTAAATGACGGAACTCATGCTAATGAATGAATGACCTAACAGAAACATATTGTTTGAGAGTGAACAAAATTTCAGATTCTAGAATATAGATTTATATCCACACAAATTTTAATAAATTTCAATGATGTTTAATTCAACTTTCTAAAATTTAAGAATGTTTAGGGTGCTAAAGATTAGGGTTTAGTTTTAATAACTTTTAGGTCCGTGTGGCATGTGTATGGGCATAGACATGGCACACGAGATGAAACACCTCATGGTTCGAGTTTAGGAAGGGGGGGTGGTGGGGCGGGAGGCAGGGAGGGAGGACCTGACCCAGGCGTGCAAGCCCTCGCTCGTCCAGACCCAGGGGCAGGGATCAGCTCCCTCGCTCGGAGCACGTAGAACAAGCGACGCATATATATGAGGTGGGATGCAGGATCTCTGTATCAGGGTCGGGCAGCTCATTCGAGACCAGTGGCTGCCAGAGGGACGGGAACGCCGTCTGACAGTTTCTCTCTAAATTTCAGTCCGGGTCGAATCTGCAACGGTCTGGATCGGCTCTTTTCGTCGGACTCCAGCGCTGCCGAAGAGTTCTTCTGAGCACTGGCGAAGACTTTCGGATCAGGCCGATGATTCGGGTCTAGATTTATGACGGAACGTGGAATCGTCTGTGGTTATGGTTGCAGCATTCGAATTCGAGCTCAAATTCCAGCACGCAACATCACCATAGAGATATCCCTAGTGCTGGGTGTCCTGCCTGTTCTAGTTTATAAGCATACAGCTCTTGCGCAGACTAGTACTGTGTGTAATATACGGGTTCCACCTAAGCTCCGTTAAGAGTATAATTCGTTTGTCACGTGTTTGGTTTCGATGGCCCTATGATCTACGAATCTTATTCAACAAATGTAATAACAAACTCATGCAGAAGGATAATTCCTGCCAAGCGCATAAAATTGTATTACAATTTTTACTTACATATCCACGACTCAGATCTAGTAGAGTAAGCCTGTTTCGTCTTCATGACTTGTCGCCAAGTTACTGTTGTTTGATCTGCAACTGTCCAAAAACATTCTACTGATCAACATGCCCATAAACCAGAAAGGAGATAGTCGAAATTCCAACTGAACAGGTAATCAGATATATTTTACATCACCAGTACGATACAAAGTGAGAAGAGTACACTGTATGGTCGTGAAACAAATGTCCACAGTTCTTCAAAGCTAACCCCGCACAGTACTGACAAACGACTAAACCACTTTCTGCCACATGCTAAAACTAAAGATCTGATAAATGCATGAGACAAACCTCAAGATACACTTCAGTCAAGATATTTGACTAAAAGAAAGAAAGGATACAAAGAGGACAGCAGTGTAGACAGATTTCATGATCTAAATCCGAAGTCAACCCTGATCCCGGAATAAATCTTCGAACAAGTAAAATAGGATTTTTCGTTAGACAGCCTGAGAAACTCAAAGAAAGTGCGTATAATTGGTGCTACTAACTTCATGCTCAACACCTGCCCCAGTTTAGCACGGAGAACTGTAACAAAGCAACTATCGACCTGTGTTCACCATGATGTCATCCCAATTCTCACCTATCGCCCCAGAACAACTCCTGATCAAATTCGATTACGAAGGTCGCAGAAATCATCCCCTCTGGACTAGATCTACATAGATGACATCCGACCGTTTCTTGCATCTTCCCGGCTGAATAAAGAAATATTGAACACGGGAGAAAATGATCGGTATAGATCAATAGCTCTCATAATTTTACCACATGAATTCATTCACTCCCTTGGAAAAAATCAAACGGAAGTAGTTGCATTGTGAGTACTCATCCACCCAAAACTAGACAATTGGTGAGTACTTAATTTGTTAATTTAACAAAACCTAGCTCCTGCGACTCCTCTTATCCCTCTCCCTTTCCCTTTCTCTCTCTTTCTCTCGATCTCTGTCTCTGTTCCTCTCTCGATCTCTGTCTTTATCTTTCTCTCTATCATGTTCTTCTCTGTCTCTAGTGACAACCTTCTCTCTATCTTTGTCTTCTCTATCTCGCCCTCTGTCTTTATCTCGTTCTCTATCTCGTTCTCTTTCTCGTTCGCGTTCCCTATCTTTTTCTCTATCTCTATCCTTTTCTCTATCTCTCTCTCTACTCGATCGATCCTTCACGCGAGAAGGACTTCTGCTGCGACTTCGACTCCTTGTGCGCTTCTTTGAGAAACCGGATTCCCTTCTTTCGTCTCGTCTGTCCTTTCTTTCCAGGGAACCTCTTTCTGATACATACCACGCAAGATGAGTAAGTAGCAATCCACTTCCCATAAAACTAGAGGGCTGCTCGTATACTATATCATACCATACAACGAAACACTCCTGCATGTACTTACATGAACTTTGATCTGGAAAGAGAGAAAAACGACGTGGCATCATTGGACCACATTCCCATAGAGAAAGGATGACAGTTGCAATGTCCCGGTCACTTCAAATCAGAGGCCCTCACATGCTAACATCACCTATATCCTGTTGAGTGCCTTGAGTGGCGTTCTGTTGATGATTCCTATGTACCAAGTGTACTATGAATAGAAAATATGAAGGGGCCAATCTTCGAAGGCTTCAAGTGGAGGAACTGTGAGGGACGGTAATGGACAGATGAATACACAAACAGATGCAGAAAGCGACCTAACCCCTGTAATAATCTTCAGCTCGTGTAATGGAAGTGACTAATAGGAAGAAACAAAACCCGGTAAGTATACGCTTACAAGATACTGAGAGACAGAAAGAGTACGAAGAGTTGGAGCTTTACTGAGAATGGGACTCAGCATTGTATATATTACGCACACGATGTATTAGCTGCGCTGTTTACTTAATTTCTAAATTTAGGAAGTTATCTAATAATAACAATGGACACACTGTGCTCATACATGCGATCCATGCTGTGCGTAAAAATATGGATCGCATCAAGCTCAGTGTATGTCAAATGAGTAAAATTCTAGAAGGCAACTGACGCATGTTCCGCTATGGCTACTATTAGCAGTATGGTTTATGGTAGCGGACATTAGACCTGCTTATTTCTCGTTAAGAACAATAAAGAACAGGATCTGTAATGACACTCTTGTGTACTCATAATGTGCTTCTAGAAAAAGCGAACGCAAAGAAGTTTGCGGAGCAACGCAGAGGTCAAACATAAGAAATTAAGCGGCATGGATATTGCTGAGCTTCACACACAGAGTCTTAATATCGCTTGGAAAGAGCATAAAAAACCTAAGCCTTGATAGTATCAAGCGTGAGTCACAACAGTCAGTTATTAGTGAGCATATGATGAGCAACAACCCCCGCAAGAACATAAAACTTTTTGATATCTTGTACAAGTTATTACGATAATATGAACTTGAAATCCACCTGATGAGCGTAAAAAACCTCTTTCAGATCCCAAGTCGCCACCTTTACTGTCCCGATCTCTTCCAGACAGAGAGGGTCCCTCTGACAGCCCACAATCGACTTCCAGCCTTTTCCTATGTAGCGACACTTTACGCTCAATCTCTTCAGAGCTTTTCAAACCTCGTTCTTCTAAAGATTCTCTGTACTCCATCACAGATACTTCGAGCTTCCGCAGCTTTTGCCTGCATACACGAACGACTGATGAATGAGAAACACGATCCAGAAGGGTCAGTAGACAGAGGAGGGACTAGAAAATGGTCGAAACGAAGGCCGACTTGCTCGTTCTCCCGCATAACTCCTGAAACCTCCACAAAGGCCAAGGCTCGCGTAGCTAGCCGGAATTCGTTGGGCATGTACAATGTATCGAACAACAGTTGACAGAACTCCTGAATGAAAACTAACCTTCTTTCCTCATCCATGCTGGTATCATTTGCAGCGCCAGCTATTATGTCAACGCGACTATCTTGTTTATCAGGCTTAGGCGTGCCTCCATATAAATCATCACTTCCTGATGAAGAATATTCCAAACCAAGCCCTCTCCTGTCTGGTTTCTCATCCTCATCACTCGCCTCGTCTTCCCTTGTCCATTTCGAGGCTGGGAGCACGGGGTCCACCTTTTCGGGCTTGCTGGAAAATACTTTTAGCTCTGGCTGAGGTAAAGCCAGTGTTGAAGGTAACGTGCCAGTCCTTGAGGAACCCGGGCCTGACCTTCCCTCTCTGGAAGCTCGTACAGTGCTATCCACATCCTCATCTTCTTCATACCGAGGCCATTGTACTCCAAGCCCAGTTGTTATTTCCAACGCAAGACCTTGTCTTCTATCTTCCCTAAGGCCATCGCCATTTTCACCAACTTCTATTTTATCCCTCTCATCCCGACTGATTTCCCTCCACCCAGTTCCCACTTCTGTCCAACCCCCGCCAGCACCCCACCTACCCTCTCCTCGCATTCTGAACATACCATCTCCATCCTTCACAGCAACGCCTTTATTGTGAAGTGAGTAACCTTGCCCAGCTTTGGAGTCATCTTCTGGCTCATGATTCTTTTGTTTCTCGGCCTCCTCTAGACTAAGAAGACGAGCCACCATAACCTCTCGGCCACCTCGAGTCGAAAGCCCGTTATGACGACACCTCCTTTCAAGTTCAGCGAATGGAAGATTTGCTAGTTCCCTTGCGGCAGCTCCTTCTCCAATTGCTAAAGCTGCGTCTTGCCCTGTGTCTGAGCCTTCTCCAACGTACAAACCAGGCTCCCCATCAGTAGGTATTCCGTTCTCTTTGCCCGCTAGCGCGTCTCCATAAAGCGTGTGAAAAGGAGCAACTCCAGAGTTGCCCGGGCGAAGGAAAGTTGCTCTCAAACCATTGACATAAGCATCTGAAAATAAGAACCAATCTGCCCAAACCTGGAGCACTTTCAACACGCGCTCCTGCATTTGACAAACGCAGGTTTGAAGTTCAAAAACAAAACACTACATGCCAACGGATTACAGGTCATCACAGGCTTAAATCGCCCAATGCTAAGTGACAAAAGGTGAAATACATTTAGCAAACACAACATCACTAGAGCAAAGCAAGAATCTCAAAACCACCTTCAGAGTTCAATACATTCTACAAAAACAAAGTACTCCTATCACGTGATTTCATATAAGCAGGTAATGTAAACGACCTTCAAAGCCTCCGCAGTGATTCGCCCTGTTATATTGCGATACAGATCGTTAAAACTTTCCATTATATCAGGTAGACGAGACTCAAAACCGGTCCGGTAGGCTGATGCATTCTTCACAGGAGCACTACTATTATGTAGTACATCTGAGACAAGCATCAACCTCGCCACCTTAGTAGGTATGGGAGTCTCCTTCAGCGTCAGCGACTCTGTCAATACTTCCACAACCTACCACAAATACAAACATTTGAATAGTTATCTACATGCGACTATAAAGCTACAAAACCAGAAACAAAAGAAGGAAAACATGGAAAAAATTCAATAACAACGAAAGCTTTATACTCGCATTAGATCCAACTTTCGCACCGTTTCCACATTAGATTCATTTCCGGAATGTGCGGATGCGAGTACTACAGATTTCTGTGCTCACCCATATGCAAAAATGAGAAGACATCTTTTAATGCTGACTACTTATAATGTTTTACCTCTCCAGCTGCTTCTGAATTATCAAGAGCAAAGCCCATTGCTTCGCGTATCTGACTTCTTTCCAGTGTCAGAGCTCGTAGCATGTCCTCGAATTCATCGCGCTGACTGTCAGTCAGTGAGCGCTCTTGGTCGGTTCTCTGCTGAGAAGAGAAACACGGAAAAGAGTACATTATATATAAACTATTCTCCTCCAGCTACTCAAGCAGACGGAGATTGAAGATGTAATCAGAATCCAACCACAGCACCAACCTGTTCCCTATAACTGTCAAAACTAAAATAACTTTTAGGTCCTTTGGCAGGTGAGCCTAATTACTCCCTGTCATTCTAAACGGAAAGACATTACAAAAACCCAGTAGGCATCAAAAGTACGATGAAACGACTGTAAGACTTACCCTGCCCCTCCCAGCAGCGAAGGTGGTGCCAGAGGCCTTCTCTCGCTCAGGACTTTTGGAAAATTCTTGAAGAGGTAGAGCCGGTGGAATCCATCTATCATCATACAACACCGCAGAGGAAACAGAATGAAGAGTGTGTAGTGTACAGCCTTTATTGTAAAATATTAGTACCTCACTCTTTCATACCGGGAAAAATCTTCCATGCACATATGGGAAAAAGTGCACACTCCTCAGAGCAGTCAGCCCCTGTTCATTGGGTACCAAACAAGAAATTTACAAATTTCAGACAACCCTGTATGATCGAGCTCCTTAGCGCACGACCAACCTTCAGAGGTTCCAAACCTCTTAGTTCAGCACTCAGACTCAGATGAGACAAGCACATGGGCTGTAAGCATTCATTCACACATCTTACTCACCGACCACTCCCAGTAATCATGATGAAAGGCTCTGTCCGCCATCTTTGAAGCGTATCTCCCTACATTTCACGGTAACACGCTACTCATCAGCTTGTCCTGGCGTCCCCACTAAACATCTGACTCATTGTTTACCCTTTGGGTGATCAAGCCCTCTAGAAACGTTTCAGCCAGTTGTAACTACAGCATGAAATATCCTAACTTGGGGATAATGTCCCAGGCAACAACTGCTCAGTCCGGAGCTCAGATTCCCACCTACAATTTTCGTGCCTTAGAGCGGATCAAAATATAAGCCGAAGTTTCTTAGCCCAGGGTCAACTTAGACAAGAATTTTGTTCCATCTCTTTTCCAACTTCTAATCTCTTCGTGAAAATCGTCTACGGAACAACATCTCACCTGGGCGAATGAATATAATCTCCAAATGTAGTACGTATGTTCCGTCGAGCCAAGATCGAAAAGGAAGCTGAACAAAGTGGTACCACGTCCCCTCTCCATGATTGCTTGCTCGAAAGCACAACCGTCATCAAGAACATACATGGCCATGGTGTCAATGACGTGACGCAAATGTTCATCTTCAGGAGGAATAACTTGTATGTCTGGAACATTCGGAGTTACTACCTGTAGGCCGAAGGGAAAATCGAGATATGAATGAAAATTTAGAGCATTGAGCTGCACTGAACATAATCGACTTCATTTCTGTAAATATTATACACATGCATTTGTAAGTTGGAAAGGAAAGGCTCTATCAACTTCTTTCTAAGGTGTTTCATCATGACTCTCATCTAGATCAAATATAAAATCTTAAGTCGCGATTAGATTATGCCCCTCATAGATTATGTTCAAACCCAACAGGTTACTAGGTATAGCATGAGTTTCAAAATCATCGACTCCAGAAGTATCAAACATTACAAGCCAGTCGCGTCATGCAGTGCTGGGAACAGTCTTTCTGTACTACATTCGAGACTAGATACTTTCATAAATAAAAGCGAAAAAAACTCCATTCTGTTCTTAAGACACGAAGCATGTTAAACTAGAAGAATTTTAAAAGTTACCACTTCCGCATTTTGGCCTGAAACAGTAGGAGCTGGTGGAGCCCCGGGGCCAGACCAAGCGACGTTAGACGCAGTTGCACCCTGCAGCAAGTCCAGCTATTAGCGGGAACATGGCGACATCCAAATGTAAGAATTTTGAAGAGTGATGACAGATTGGTGCAAATATGGATAACTGACGAGACCGAACAAACGACTGAAATACTCCTCTCGAGTGGTGCATTCAACTCATCTACCAGAGGAAAACCCAGATTTTCATCGCCTTAACTTGTGAGCCAACTTCAATGCTTGCAAGGAGGGGAACTGCTAAAGGAAACATGGTAAATAATGCTTCAGCTAAATTTTGCTACTTCCAGCCTGTGAGTCAAATCTACGTCTGGGCACTCGAAAGGGTCATTGTAGGGCGATGAACGCCTAGTTCCTCACTCAACAAGAGTCATCTCATAAATGGATCCACTTAGATGTGTCTCGGCCTTTTCACTTAAAACGATCCGCCGGCAGTTGGCGGAGGATATAATCTTCTCTTCTCACCTCTTTCGGCCGGACGGCCATCTGTCCAGGCGGAGGAGCAGGGAGAGCTTGTGCTGGTAGGGCGACCGCTTTCCCCCACCCAATCCTAAGCTCATACTCGTAAACCACGACGCCTGCGAGGATACCAAGGTCCACAGCGTGCTTCTCAATGGCAGAAAGACGCACTCTGATCTTAATGTCAACCTTAACAACCAGGATTTTCCAAAATCTCTTATTGCAAAGGACAAAGCTTGTACATCAAAGCCTCAACAATAAAGTTCATTGTCCTGCTTCTTTGTAGTGTCAGGTGCAGCTTCGTCTGCAGATATGATGGGTATAAGAGTCCGCGCTGAATGAACTGTTATTGATCTCATGACTTGGTAACACATCAGTACATCCTCATCGACCATCGACAAAGAAGACCAACAAATTAAGATTGTTTGAAAACCAAGTGACCATGAGGGTACCTTGCATCTCATCTTTAGCCGCCTGAGCTTCTCCCCTATTCATAAAAGCAACGAAGCCACAGTTCCGCTGCCTCCTACGCTCTTCTTCAGTCCTGGGCCACATTATTTTCACACTTGCAATTGGTCCAAAGCGACCAAAAGTCCGCAAAAGGAAGTTCTCATCTACCTGCACCACTCCAAATGCATGGCCTTCAGATTTGAATAACTAAGCAAGGTCTTACTAGACATATCTCAGATATCACGAACTGTGCTTGAATGACTGGAGACAAGACTCATTGAGGACTTCCACGAACGTAAGCTTCAAATTCTCGTTGCTTTCGAAGGTTGGTACCTGAGGTGAGAGGTTTCCCACGTAAAGGTTGGTAGTTTGTGGGTCTCCATCATCGAAAGAGCCTGGAAGCTTGCCATTTGCGTCCAGTTCTTCTGGGAGTTCATCAAATCGGGTAGGAGGCTGTAAAAACACATGACGACGTCAGCTAGAATAAGCAAAACTCGATTCTTTTCAACCTTCATCCAGCCATAATACAATAAAAGCACAGCTCACCCCAAATGTCCAGCGAAACTGCAAGAATGAAAAACACGTGACTACTGAACTTGAGAAGAGGAGTGCAGACACACATTATCTGAAGCAATGGTATCGACGGTGATGTTCCCGCTCGTCCGGGTACTCCTTCCATCGCGACGGTGTTCACGATCTTGACTTCGCTTTTCCCGTGCTTCTTGTTCTCGCTTCAGTTCTTCCATGAAGTGATCAATATTTCGGGACTTCCCCCGATCCCTCTCTTTATTCTTATCTTCCTCTCTCTGCGCAGAATACTAGCTTATAAGATAATGATATGACACTTTCAGAGCATAAGGCTGGAAAGCGGACCATTCAGCTACAAAATGTCTACATTAAATTCACATACTCGCTTTTCAGGCTCTTTCTCCTTGTTGACCATTGCCGCTAAACCAGGGGGGATGAACGAGGGAACATATCTGCAAAATTCAGCACGTGCAACAATCAACACCTGTTTTGATCTGTGAGCTGTTTTGATCGTTGATTAGGTTGTCGTTGTACGACCCGAGATTGCTCTACAATCTCAAAACCCAAAATAAGGCGCCAACAGAATAGACTCAAGTGAAGTGTGTTCTGTGTGCTGTTTTGAACGCAAAGATCAAAATGTGACCTGATACATGGCACCATCTTCTACTCAGCTAGAGTCTTACCTTAGACGTGTAACAAATCTACTATCGATAATAATTAGCAATCCCGCTGCTCAAGTTTCCCAAAATTGACGCCCGACTCTAATCACGATTGATCTGCGACTGGACTTTCAAAGTTTCGGCTTATGCTGCCACGTTGAGAACTACTCCTGTCGTTCTCAACAAGGCAGCCTAAGTCTAGGCAAACTTCCCCGAGACTGTGTAACAGAAAGTAGAATATGTTCACTATCCCCAACAACGAGAAGTATCAATTATATCTTTCCCGTATGACTTCTACCTAGGGAACAGACCACTATAATTTGTACTCACAGGTGAGTAAGTATTGTAACTTGCAGACCACAGCAACACGCCGTTCCTGGACAGCTCGAGAAAGCTAGTGGTACGGCGTAGAAGGAAATGAGGAAACTACCCGATTTGTGTGACTTGACTTTATATAACCAAGACCAGACCAGCATATTTTTCATAAGATTCAGTCTGCCTCATATGCCATAACACAAGTACACCGATAATCCTTGAAGGGTACAATTTCTTCCAGGCAGCTCCTCTACAATTAACCAATGAAGGAATCGGATATTATTTCGAAAGACGATATTTGAAATTAAAAATGGATACCTTGATCAGCTCCACAACTTCTAGTTAATCAGACATACCTGCTCCCAGGTTTCTTGGATGCTGTAGAATCCATCTCCTTCGTACTGGGACCTGATAAAACAACAAGAATTTGTAAATTCTCAGATATCATCCAGATCTGGCAGACACGGAGCATATAGTGCGAGTACATCAAATTCTGGCGTCCATGTTAAAAAGATTATTTACTTCTGCGTACTACAAGACATCTATCTGTCGTTCCAGGCCGTAGTAATTTCCATGCTGCCGTAATATGAGCCCTCTTGTAGAACCTTTTGATGGAGTAATATGCAGATGCATCGGTAATTAATTTAATAAATCCATTCACTCTAGGTTCTGCAACGAAAGCACTCACTCTAGGCGTATCATTCTTAGAAAGGCAATTGTGAGAGGAGAAAGAATCTGCAAAAGAAATGTTGTACCTCCTACAAGGAAATGACTTACCATCCGAAACTTCAGAAACTACAGGACTCGATGTCAAGGGCTCGATTCGGTAGTTTCGGGGAAGTCAATAATAAAATACACGAAGACAACCGCTTCAGGATAACTTACCCCTATCATCAGGTAACTGTGCGCCGGGGGGAGGAGGTTTCACGCGTTCATTAGGGTTGATTGTACCTCCCCTGACGAAGGCTTTACCACCAGGCGTATCATCCGCTTTGAAGGATTCCACAAATTCTTCATAAAGTCGTGCAGCTTCTTCATCTGCACGCTGTGGTATTTCCAAAAAAGACAAAAATTCCAACATTATAATCCCGTCAAAGGATATCATCACAAATAACGCGAAGCTGAACACTCGGAGATTTAAACGATTGTAAGTCTGGTGGCAGTAATACCTTCTTCTTGGCCTCCTCTTCTTCCCGGTGCTTTTGAAATGGTGTTTTCTTCCTGACCACCGAGAAGGACGTCATCTTTTCGTTTGACATGTCTGCTCTGGACAATTGCATCCTTCAGTTAGACTCAGGAACTTTAGTAATTGAAAATCGTGGAGCATTGAACTTCATTCGAAAAACCGATTGCGGCCCAGCAGCCTTGACGCATTCAACGTCAAGACACCATCCAATTAACGAATTGAGGCTGCTCGAGCATTACTTGTGCTTTAATGATATCAGGAATTTGTATTTCGAGTTCGATCGAAGAAATCCGGTAAAAAATTAAAATGTAAGCGAAACATCCAGACATTTTCTTCGATTGCACAGAAACGAAATTTCGCACTGTTATTCAATCATAACAGCTTAAGAAATGCACGTAGCTCCACTAAAAAACATTCACGGCCCACTTAAATAAGTGAAGAACGAAGACTGCTCTTTACAAAGGCATCAACGAGAATTATTACCGTCAGCGCTGATAGCCCAATATTCTCAAAGTCTTCGCAGCTCGATAAAATCGTGATCACGGTGGCCCCACTCAACTCAACGATACTCTGAGTAAGTTGAGACAGAAATCCCAGAATCAATTACACCCTTTCTCCTCCGCCAGCATCATAGAAGCTCGAGCTTCCGGAAACTATGATTCTGAGAGAAATATACTGCTTACAGAACAAACCCTAAACCCGCAATATTCATGTACCAAGCCTGTCACTCATCTTTACCGCTGGTGTACAATGATAACACTCATCGCCATCAACCTGTTCAATAGCCAGCCCTACCGCAAAGCACCCATGCTTGCTCCACAATTTACACCGATGCTGCGGCTATCTATGGCTCCAGCATCCACCGGCCGAAGCCAAAAATTACAGCTCCTCAACGACACTTTCCTCCTTGTCGACGACCCTCTCTCGTCGTCCAGGCTCAGCCGGGCTCCCGCATTCGTCCTCATTTCTCCAGCAATCCCCGACTACCGACTGCTTCAGCGCTTTCTTGTCCTCCTAAACCTCCTATACCTCCTCCTCCTCCGTCTCTCTCTCTCTATCTGTATGTATCTGTCTCTCTTTCACCACTGCAACAGCGAGTTCACCATGTTCTCTACACCAACTTCCATACTTCGATCTGCAGTCCTAATCACTCTCCCTCATCACTGCATTCGCTTGTCCCCAACTTGCAACAACAAACTGGTGCCGACCCTCGAGCTACGCGAGCTCGTAGCACTGGAGCAATGACCGACGTCTAGTTGTATCCTGGACCCTGGTCTCCTCTTCCTTGTCGTCCAACATGTTCGTTCGTTGCGTCTTCCTTGTTTTTCTTCTTCATCAGGTACACCGCCTCGGGGCTCCTGTGCCCAGCTCCGGGGCCTCCCTCCAGTTTTGCTCGGCCTCGCCTTCTGGTCGTTCATATATGCCCATCCTAGATCCTACCCTTCCAAGAGGCAGGCATCGGAATTATCGCATGTTGCTTCCTCGTTCTGCTGCTCTCGATCTCTGCACCTTCTTGTAGTTGGCAGCAAATAGGCCGTAGAGAATGGGAATCCTTCGAATGTATCTCCTCCATATCATACTCATACATCCGCCCATGGCAGACTATAATATAGAGTATGACATTAATACATCCTGCGCATCGCTGCTGCTGCTGCTGCTGCCGAACAGGCCTTTGTGTGAAGGAGGCATGAGGTCCATGAGGAGCCCACCTTCTTCTGCTTCATCAATTCTTATTTCGTGTTTTGTCTGGGGCATAATTCGGACCCTGAACCAAGACCGCCGAACAATCCTCTCCGTCGATGCGAGCTCACCGCATACCTCTCGCAAATTCTTTTCATTTCATCGATCCCCACATCAGTTCCTTGCCTTGTTGGCTTACGCATAGAGGATAGTAATGGCCATCAAATTCCGCCATTTGTGTTGTGGATAATGCCCAAACTCCGTTTGTTGGATGCGCACCATCTTGTCATATCTTCTATGTATGTTTGAGTAGGTGATCATCGTTGGGACTATTCAGCAAAATGAAAACCTACGTCCAATCTTACGGCAGGAACAGATTGCTAGCTGCACGCATAGAATAATAATTATACGCGTCTTAAGATATGAAGCATTACTGATTGATTTAAATTTAGTGCGACTTTGGAGTGTGCACCTTCTTATGTACAAATCGAGTTACGATTGTAGATGAACTTCATGAAATCAGGGAAATAGCTTCGATCATTATGATTTTCGAAAGTGTGTCATCCGATCCTTCTTGTGCTATAGAATAAAACTTGATTTAGGCTTAAGTATCTAAAAAGCGTATGAGAAGATTAAGGTCTAACTTTTAATCGGCCGTCGCATGGAAATAGGTCTCAAATAAAGGTTTACTGCAATGAAGCCCCCAATTCAAACATGAACAATATAAGGAAGATCATTGTCCTCTTACGAGGCCGGAAAAGATGAATTTTTAAATCATTTCAGTATAGTGGAATAACGTTAATTATCCGGAATGAGTGTGTACTCGTCTTGATCGGTTCATTATATTTCGTAATATTTTGTGTTGTTAAACGGTCAACATGATATGCGTTCTAAAAAGAACCACAAAAGTTGTGTTTGTGTTTTACATTGTAAATATTTATTATGGCTCAATGCTTTAGTTCTAAATTTCGACTGCATGCACATCTTTAATAGCAAGTAACTCGTTTTTATTTTTCATTGACATGACGTCTGAATGGAATCATCGGACATTTATCATTCCTATCTTTTCACATGTTGTTGAGATGTTTTGGATCATAAAAGTGATCCAGTTGTTTTTTATAGAATTCAGATGTCAAAATATAATATTACTGGTCAATTACGCAATTGAATGAAGCAAAGAATATAACTCAACAATGTTATAGAATAATCAATCCGATATCCGATGCAATCGCAACTGTAGATCTTAGCCCTATAAATAACTCCAAAATTACCATACATGATGTACAACCATTTTTTCGTCAAATATAATATGTTCTTTTGACGATCTTATTTGTAATAAGTAAGTGTTATTTTTTAAATGTATGTATATAAAGTTTTATGAAAAATATTAGAAGTCACAGATACATCTGATCATATCGGAGACAGTTGAGCTTCTTTTATAAAATTCATATATATTATTCATGTTATGTATATTTTATGTATATGTTCATACATTCATTTTCCTAATTAGAAATAGTTATTACATGCTTTTAAAGGGAAAAAATGAATTTCTATATACAATTATACAATGATTCAAAAGCGAGCTGAAGATCTCTAACGCAACAACTGTCATCAGGCTGATAACTGATTTTTATTATAAATAAATAACACAACAAAAACTGTTGTTTATCTTGGTACTGCATCATAAGTAAGTAAGTATATACGAGTGTATATATGAATGCATGTATATGTAGATACCAATAAAATAATATTCCTTGTCTTAATATTACCAAAATGTGCAAGATAAAGATGGCTAGAGCTAAAAACAAATCACAAATTTAGTTATATAAACACAATATTCGTTTGAAGACTTAAGTTGGATTATACATACGAACACAAGAATATATGGTATGTGAATAAAGTGAAATATTTATTGGCTACTGCACACAATTTTGTACTCATATTGCAAGACTAGTCTCTCACAAAATGTAAAGTTGATAGCAAGAACATGTACCGATACTCTTATCTCCACTTTATAATTGTGTCTATCAGATGCAGCCATACACACTTGGCATGAGATCATTATGAATACTGCATGTTAAATCTGATTCAATAATAAGCATGAACTACAAATTTGTACACAAATTATGAGAGCCTTAAATAACCACACAAATAGTTTTTAACAATAGTTTAAATATTTATACATATATAAAATAAGAATAAATATATACATATACATATATCATGCTAGATGAAAGTACATATATTGTCCTAATCCCATTCTATGACTATTACACAACCCAATGACTCTTAATTACTAACACAATTTTAAAAAGCTCATATTGAATTCAAGATAACATTTTCATTTTTCCCCATTTTTTTCAACATAAATATTCTTAATTAATAATGAAATATTTAAATTATTTAAATTACAGTAGACAAGATATTGATTTTAATCAAGAAAATTTCAATATCAACGCAAATTGATGAAGTATCTCACTTCACATTTACAATTATTTATTTCTTTGTTTGTCACAAGACTTGCTTGCATCAATATAAATTTGTTGAATAAATAGAAGTTCCAGATTATTGAAATAATATATAATAAAAAAATGATCTCATATAATATCTTCAAATAATACAAAAGAAAATAAATATATGAAATTTAATAATTGATCAAGATGGTACCTAATACCATCAATCAACTTGTTAAGTGTGAAACAAAATGTACTGTTATATAAGCCATACAAAAAAATGAAAGAAGATTTTCCTGTTTGTGATTATATTAAATTATATATAAAGTGCAATATGTGGTGATTTGTAAAAAAGCAAAATATGTATTTATCATTTCAAATATTTATATTATTGAAAATTTTTATGTATATAAATTGTAAAACAAACTTAAATGCAAAATTATAAAAGCTGGACATATAGAAACATACATGTTTTAAGTTTTTATATTCAAGCAATTTCAGTGTGTTATTGTGCTCATATTTTATCAATAAGGTGTCTTTAAAAACAACAAGTTCCATATCTCTTTGAAATAATAAATTGAAGTTTAATTTCAAGAAAATAAATTGAAACGAAAATTTTCAAAGGTGAAGTAGCGTTTTAAGCAAACAACTACCATTTAATATAATTCTCTATGTGAAACCTACGAAGTCCATCTGCCATCTCATTATGATTAAACTGTCATGCTCTTGCACAGCTTAGACATCATTGTGGTAGTGAGTGACAGTATATTCATACTAGTTCATCTGTGGAATCATATGCCAAATTCTATGATAATCATCAAGTAATCTAACCTTGTCATGGAATCAAAAATAAATCTTCGAAGTACACTTGTACATAAAAACCAAGATTCAGTTATTTATGACCTAAAATCGGACTATGCACTTAACATGCCACATGATCTGATCGGTTCATAAAAATGTGATATACTCTGCATTACCTGTGTGTAAGAGATATTAAGATTTTTAAGTTCAGAATGTCTTTATCCGAAGTGATTATTTCTCGTATACTTTTGTCACATGGGTTACATTTTGTTCAAGAAAGAAGAGGCTATTACACACAAGACATTGGGTATAGCTAGTCGATGTAGGAGATCTTATCAAGGGAAGAAAAGCTATATCTAACAAAAAGTTAATCATAATAGCACTCAATAATTCATCGTGTATCTATTCCAACTTGTGAAACAGAAACTCTTTGACGTTGTACACACAATAACTATTCAAAAAATTAAAATAAGAGATATACGTAATGGATTACTATGATTTTTATGATTTCCCCATATTTCAGTGGAGCTAGAGCAGGAAAATTTCAAGACATGAAGGAAAAATATATAAACTTTATGTTACCTCAGCAAAAAAGCTCAAACTCCTGAAATAAATTTCGCAAATTTCTCTACTTACAATAATTTATCATGTTGGACTTAATCACAAATTGATATCTAATTTCTTGATTTCTAACGCTAAGATAAAATCTGTTCAATTTCAATGTTTAGGGCTGCATAGACTAACGTCATTTAGACTAACGGAAAGGAAATTGACCTCCTGCTGCGGTTGCTAGCCCCCTTCTTCAGGCTTCATGTGAGTTGGAACAATGATATGGCAGACACACATTCGGATCTTGAGAACCACCCACAGGTTGCATGCATTCACTTGCCTCTCGTGGCATATGTCGCATCCGAGTGGCCACAATCAGCCTACGGATTCCACAAAGTGTACAGATCTTGAGGTTCTGAGGAAGTTCCTGGTGACATCAGTAGCCAATTACTGTATGTGCAGTTTGGTGCATTCGGATCGCGTTTCAGATAACATCGCCTTGGCGGCCATGCCCATGCTTTTCGAGATAATATAACACCAACTCTTCAAAAGGGTATTTGTCGAGTGATGATATGGATCTATTCTATCTGTTCTACATTTTTTCTACATGAAACGTTAGAAACTTTTAGATTTACGGGTCCACGTTCATTCATGGTCTCTGTATCAGAACAAGAGAACATAGGACAGTACCACTGGCCGTGGTCTCTTGTTCCCTGTCAGTAACCATTAGCAGTGGACTTTGCAATGCATAGAAAATGACTGTCAGACGTCTGTGAATTTACATCGGTCACTGACAAGTCTGCGAACCAGAAGTTTGCAAATCTTAATCTAAACAGGAGCAAGAAAGCGCATTCCGTAAAGATTAACAAATTATTCTCTCGTGCCTTCGGCAGTGCTCTTCAATGTCTGCTATACTTGCTGAAAAGGGTTTACTGGCCTCGAAAATATTACTTCAAAAGGATCGTCTTGGATTATGGCTCGGACGAAGACACAAACTAATGCAGAACTTGCAGGAATGATGAATGAACAACTGAGAACGATTGCCTTACGATCAGAGAATAAACAGGGAAGGGTCCTGTGGCGCAGCGAAGCAAGAAGTGCAAATCACTCTTATGATCAATGATTCTGTATCGCCACCTCTATCCCAGTATAATCCACATGTACAATAAAGGATCTCATGATAACGTGGGTAGAGTCACCAGTAAGCATCAATCTGATTACCTACAGCTACGGATGTGACTTACAACTTCATGATGGTTGGGAAGTTCAGCGGAAGATTGCTTTACTGCTACATCAACGGAGTGGGTACACAGCGGACAATCACGCATCGTGAGAAATTTGGAATAATGGTATACATTCCTGGGTATTACTTTCCAAATCATGACCTTCTCGACTTCTGACCAGAATCATGCTGTACAGAATTCTGCATTACATCACCTCATGTCTCCCTGAACTGTGATAAACATGTATATCCGAGAACGTCCTAGCATTTGCAAATAAATGTTCATACGACACAAGCATCTTCGTGAAGACTATGAAGTATGCACAATGACTCTCGGGGACAATCTCACGCAGATGATTTCATGACACCATTTCTCCAACTGCTAACTCTCAAGAATTCTATCACTAAACAATCTGATAATCACAAAACCTCGGGTGTCATCCAATTCCCTTCAACTGAGCACGATACGCTACGTGCGTAAGAGCTCCCATTCGTATATGCTACCTTAAGAACAAAACTCCAAGGCGAATGGATGGGAAACAAGGAGACTTATGCAATCATCAAATCTAAGGTTAGAAGATACAAGATAGATACAGAAAGCAGTCGCTTGGATCAACGCCTCTTTTACACAGAGTTTCGGGTCGGTAGTGCTGTGCATATTAAAAAAAACGTGAATCCGCAGATGACGTAAGAGAATTGTGCAAGACCACTCCATAAGTACAGGAAACATGCAGAATGTAGCAACAGGGATACAATAAGGTGTCGGCGAATGGCCGACATCGGGGTTGACATCCCCTGTTAGAAAAACCAAGCAGACTTCTGGACCCCAAAAAACTACCTTGCCCGCTGTGATACGTCTTCTCTATACAACGTTTCATCATGTGAAAACAGTATGTCTACGAGGAAATGTTCTTAAGATCAGTGATGAAACAGGAAGAATCGTACATCACTCTTGTCGAGATGTCATGAGCAATGGTCTGGTCTGAGAAGCAAGACAGGAAAAGCGTCCGAAAATTGAATGAATCGGCAAGCTTCACTGACTGGTCGAAGATGGGGTCCAATTACAGTCGTTTGTGGACAGGTGCATGAGATTCGGGATGAAATGGACAGTTCAAAAAAGTGAATTGGCCACTCTTCTCCGAGTAGGACTGTGGCTCACACTCAAATCCGACCCACTAAGATCAGCGTTGGGGTCATTCTCGTCCCCAACGTGATGCCTGCGAGGAGTATGAGCGGGCTGTGAAGAAGTCTCGGGCATTCTCACTCGTTGGGCAGGAGATGTCAGCAGCTTTTGAAAGGCATTCCTTCTGGCCTTGATCTGTGCAAGCCTGTTCTTGTCGAAGGAGTACGTGGCATCTGCCATCGCCGAAGAATGGGACCTGGGAGTGCACATACCCAGATTCTCCTGCTCGGCCATGGCGCTCAGGTTGATGCCGAAGTGCAGCCGTCTGGAGGACTCGGGGATGTTCGTGTCCCGGGGCTGGAGAGGACTCGGAAGGCTCGACTTGTTCGGCAGAGTGGACTTCGGGGTGTAGAACGGAATGTTCGAGCCGTGCGTGTTCAGAGGAGTGCGCGAGTTGCTGAATCCATTCACCGGCGTGGTGGGGGGCACGGTGTTCTGCTTCGAAATCGGGGAATTGGAAGTGGGATTCTTCTGCCTCCTGTCCTTCAGATACGGGGTGGTGGGCTGCTTCGAGATCGGAGTTGTCATCCCACCAGCTTGCTTCTTAGCGGGAGTAGGAATGGATGTGTACTTGGAAACTGGAGTGGTGGGATTGTTCTGAGTCCTGGCGGCTGCGGCTGTGGGTGTTCTGGGAGGCATGGTGGTGCCTCTTCTGGCAATTGGAGTGGTTGGGTTGTTGGAGCTCCTCGTGGCGGATCCGAAGGAGCTGGAGGCAGAGGACTTTTTGGATATAGGAGTTTGTGAGGACGCAGCTGAAACGGGATGCTTCTTCAAGGGCGTGGAGGAGGAAACGGATGAGGACGAGGTGGCTGAAGAGGAGGAGGAGAGAGAGCTCTTTCTCGGCGTGGAAGCTGTGATTGTGACCCTCGCCGATGTCGTGTGCCTGACTGGTGTTTGTGACGACGACGATGCTGCGTTGTTCGCCATCCTCCTCGTGCTGCTGACCGGAGTTGAACAGGACGCAGGCTCATTCTTCGCTGCTGCCGCAGCGGAGCTTGAGCCATTCTGCTTTCGGAGCGGCGTCCTGGCGCCGAGGCTCTGACCGATGGCGGACACCAAAGTTCGAAGAGGCTGCAACCAAGAGCAAGTGCGGGCAAGTGTGAGAACAGGACCTCCGAGAATTTTGAAAGCGGCGGCAACGATCAGGCTGTAGAGTTATTCGTCTATTCGAGTGACGCCTGCCTTGGAGGTCTGTGAAGCAGCGGAAATCGTATAAATGGAAGAGTAGCCTGCATGTTCGAATGTTCCGAGTGATAGAACTGACACAAAAGCTCAACATTGCAATTACTCACAGAATCGATTGTTTGGTTGCTTGCGGGGACCCGCGCAGCACCTCCGCCGAGGCGCACCTTCCTCAGTGATGACGGTTCCTTCTGCCAGCGACAGCATTCACGTGAAACGATGAGCGACGTACTTTTGGACGATCAATATTGTGAACCGTTACTCAATGACTACCGCAGTAACTACAAGTTGCAAACTTTTGAAACTGATGGAATGGTTCATTTGTGAGAAGGAAGTGCGCCATGCGCGACTCCCTCCACGGATCACTTCGAAGACTCTACAGAGCAAGGTATGGAAAAAGTTACCAGTTGTCGGCCTGAGTGGGAGGCTCCAGCCGAAGCTGCGTCCCTGTTCACAGCCCACGAGGATTTAAGATCACAACTTTCATGATAGTTCCACATCGAGCATCGGCAAACATCAGTAACAAATACAATTTGGCGGGGCTTCTCTCGCGAGATTTCCTGACCTGTCCGCTGGCTTTACGTGCATTTTAGCAGATTCTCACATCCACCGCCTGACCTGCGACGCGGACCTGCGAAGTCTGCAGAGGATTTGCGGACGGACACAACGAGATATCAGATAAAACTCATCTCAGATTTTATCCTACACTAGGCACATGTGAACGCCCACCCATTTGAGAGCAACCAGGACTAAGAGCATCTATTCAGAAATGTTGAAATAAGGAGAAGTTGTGCGACATTGTATCATCCACAGAAATACTCAGAGAACGACAATTACTTCACATGCAAGACTGAACAAAGGCTGCAGTTCTCGATCAAACTTGGGATCCGAGGAAAACTATCCGTTCAGTTAACCGTAACTAATTCACCTCCGGGAAACAATTTCGATCACATTCTTTCGACTTTGTCAAACACGCAGCATGTTATGCCACGAATTTTGCAGGTACATGAGAATTCTGCCAAGCGGATTTGAGCGCAGTCGTCTACTCTCCCGGCCAGAAAATTAAGATGCATGTGCCAGTCCTGTGTTTCCGAAGTGACCACAATCCCGTTGAGAGGGAGAAGAACGTCGACCACATTCACATACATGTCTCCCACATTTGGCTGTTCTATGCCGCTGTCATTTACACCATTATTTCCTATATAACCTCTCGTGATCCTGTTGCAGATGCTCGGCGGCAGTGGAGGTCCAGTCAGTGGATGGTTGTGTTTCGAGGACGCAAGTCTACCAACCGCCTTCTATATCCCTGTCCGGACGTGTGCTGCTACATCGGGGCGGGCTTCGCTGCCAGAAATCTCTTGAGCCACTATGGATTCATCTAGTACGACACAGAGCTCGGTCACTCCTTCTACCTGTCTCCGATGCTCGAAATAACCACGACTGAATCAAACGATTACACTTGCCGTAAAACTCACCTGTAATGAGCTCGATCGACGCCGCGAAACCTCGAAGAGAGACCAACAAACGCTCAATGAACTTCGGTCCACCACCAAAAATCGGAGAATCCCGACACTACACAACCCAGAGTGCTCCACTTCGTCACTCGAACGACGGTTCAGTCGGTGCCAGTGGAAATCGGAAATCCAACTGGTCGTCTGGGAACGTGGAGGCAGCCGGCGACGAGAGGAGGAGAGCCGGAGCAGAGGCCCGTGGCGACGACCGAACAGTTCGAACGAGGAGGTCCGACTGCGTCAGGCCCTCGGACACGAGACTTGAGTCGATCGATGATTCTCCACTCGAGCAGGTGCAGAGAAGTGCCTCATTTTCCAGTACGGTAGTTGGCGGGGGAGGAGAAGATCAGACTTGGACAATCCGAACTGTCATCGCCGGGTCCTCGCGGGCGATCGTCCGTGCAATGGGACTAGGGAACGCAATTGCGAGCATCGTCACGCGAATCAGACAAAATTTGAATCCCCGACATGCGACCGAAGGCTGGAAAGGAAGGGACGGGTGCGCGGGAGGAGTCGCCCTCAGACAGGACGACGGTGCGTGAAGTGTGTGGCTCGACGAAGACGACGAGACGACCCCACCACTCGCACTCCCTGCGAAGCTTTTGACAGCACGAGCATTGATTGCGTTGCCCCATTTTCAAACTCGATCCTCCGTCGGTCAGATCACCTCCAGCCGGTACCCCTCCAGATATGAGCGCTTGCCCCTCCCCTTTCGCCCGAATTAACGTCAGTATATGATCGTTCTGCACACTGGGCCAATTTAATAAATTAAAGTATACCCTTGGAAGCTCTTGCCCCCCCCCCCCCCCCTCTCGCCCGAATAAACGTCAGTATATGATCGTTCTGCACACTGGGCCGATTTAATATATATTAAAGTATACCCTTGGAAGCTCTTATATCCTCTATTTTGTATTAGTATCTATATACTATTACATAATGGATGTTCCAGATAGTACAACCGATCGAGCTTTTCTGAATTTGGGGTTTCTCGACAAAGTTCCACTCTTTTTGTCTGCTCTGTTTGGGATAGGCACAGATGCAGATGTTAACATTTGGTGTTACTCTCATGAATTTATGACTTGAGAGACACCTGACCACTATTTGCATAAATGACCAATGAGATCAACTGTGTTTGGAAAATTCAACTTGTCGTATATGTTTAACCTTTAACACTACAGAACAACTAGTCTTACTTTGCTCGTTTGTCTCCTCTTTATTAGATCACATATGTGTCCTTCATGATATACATCTTCGCTTGGAAGTAGTTTCTCTCATTATCTATATAGATTGAAACAACTAGAATTCCACTTACTCGAAAGTGACACACATAACCTTTTTACATTCTTCATACTTTTCCAATGTACAAGATCATTTTCTCTTAGTGTAGATTTTTTGTGCAAATGATGAAAAGTTTGTGTGGTGTAAATTTCTAATCGATTCCATGTTTTGTAATGGATAGTGTATTACGTATATCCAAGAGTAGTACATGTTTCACGCTGACTTTCAAATCATATTTCAAAAATGGTTATAATAGTCATTCACCTAAATTGACTAAATACTCTTGATTTAGTCTACTAACAAAATTAATTTAGACTAATTAAGTCTATCAAAAAACTTAATCTAGGTTAATTTGGTCATTTAAAAAATTAAATTAGATTAGTTTAGTCTACTAAAAAACATTTATTTAGATCATTTTCAATACAACTTTTCTACTAAACATTTAAACACAAAATTGTTCATAGAACAAAACATATTCAAAACAAAATATTTTTTTGATTTCATGACAATCAATAATTCAAAATTTTCAATATAAAATTTCTACTAACCAATTATCAATGCTAGAACTTTCTTATGAACAAAAGTTATTTTGTCTTCATGACTCATTATAATTCAAAGTTTGATAATTTTTTGAGAAACAAATCTTCTTCCCAACGCAAAATTGAAAATCAGACTGGACCGTACAAGTTCCAAAAAAATATTGCAACTACATCACAATATTTCATCATATTTGAAAATCAAGTACCAAATAAAGACGAGACATACTTGAACTACAAATAGTGAATCAATGATGTGTTTAATCACTTGCTCACATCTATGAATATGGATTATAGTTTTGTGCTCAGCAATTATGATATTGTCTGATCAGATGAATAAGAATTTTTCAATTGAAAACCATGTTACGGAATCTTTCGGACAAAATCTGATGCAGATAGCTTAATAAACTCATGTAGTACCAGTGAGAAAATGGAACCAAAATGAATCATTGCGTTGTGGTTTTGATCTCAATAAGCACAAATTTCACGGATCCGATAACATGCAGTGATGTTAACCAAAGCAATTTCTTGTTGAAGATCTTTCAAATTGCTCTTAGTGTCTTTGTTATTTAATGGTTCAATCCAAAAATCCAAAAAAATGATAAATTTTTGAAACCTTGACAAAACGACCTCATAATGACCGGTTATGACGTGAATTAAGAAATCAACATTCACAATTGTTTCTACATTGAGCGGTTCAATTACTCTAACGTTAGCAATGAAAATTGCCACAAGTTTATCTAGGGCATTTTATTACTTAAGTACAAAAGTAATTAATCATTGAAAAGTATGAAAAATTATAGCTGTTTTTGTCGTGAAATGATGCATAGAAAAAAATGCAACCTTCAAAGATCAAGATGGAGCTGAAGCTTACTCCTTTGAGTCAATATGAACAAGTAATTGAGTTTGATGGATTTTGAACAAAATGATGATTTTTTTTTGTTGAAAGCAAATGATTAACAACATGGAATGATGTAGTTTACATTTTTGTGATCAAATTCTGGTATTGTGTCAGGTGAGTAATGAATCCAATTATCACTGAAAAAAATAGTTATTTGATAACATTGTTCATTACTTCTTACATAACAATATCTAGTTAATGCGCTCCGCATCAAATTAGAATAAAAAAAAAATCCTTATGCATGACGTCGGCAAGACGAGTAACAATCCAAGTAATCCGAGCCTTGTCAGTAGTCAAATCAAGAATACAATTTTTCCAATCAGACTAAAGCACTTAAAAATCTTGCTCACCATTTTGAACATAACTTCATATGTGTGGCAATCAAACATCATGAGTGCATAACTATGCAAGTTAACAATCGAATGATAGTTGCAAATGAAAATTTGGAAACGTTTATCAAGAAATGATGTGCTTTTATATGTTGCTGAGTCGAGTGTTATTGAAAATGTGCACAAACTTAAAAAAATAATTTGCAATCTCTTACATGTTAGCAGCACATATTACCCAAACAAAGTTACTAATTTTGTGAAAAGAAAAGTCATGTAAAGTAAAATTGCCCAAAACATAATATGTACAATCAACAAGTTTGGATGCCATACAAAATGATGTCCCGCAAGATACTTATCGCATAGCCAAGACAACAAAACTTTGTTTTTGTCTTGGAAATTGACATTAGATAAAAATATTTAATAGCAACGTTACTCTATTCAACACGATAAAACAAAGATAATACATGTTTTTTTTACTTGATTGATGTTTGTCGTCGTTGGAGTACTTGGGTATTATTTTCATCCATACTATCAAAAGAATGTTCATCTTGTACTTCTTCATCTGCATCACTTTCATCTTGTTATTCATGATTAAACATTATATTCCGAAAATGACATCCACAATGTCTCGTTCAATTTCATATACAAGATCTTCTTCATCTTCTTAAGAATACCGGTAATTGACTTTAAGAGAATTTTTTAATGCAATTTGGTCCATCGTCAAAAAATGAATTACATGAAGAAGTTTATAATATTTGATACACATCTCATTGTTTATTATGTTGGATACAATGATTATGTTCAATATTGTCATCACAAAAGTGAAATTTTAATGCTTGCATAGAAGATGGCACTTTTTGTTTTGCATTTACCTTTTACTCACGATCAATTTAATGCAAAATCGACATTGCACATCCATCATTTTTGACAATTTTGGATCTTGAATCAAAAACTTCAACCCAAAATTTTCAGCATATATTTTCATGTAAGCAGATGAATTTGTCAAAAAATGTCAAAATATTAATGCACACAATTATTTTGGCCTTTTCACTTCTATAGTACAACTTTAATCAACACAAAAATAAAATAAAATAATATATAATTAACATAATTAAACATTGCTTTAATAGCGTATGTGGAAGTGTCAAAATCAAGATTATAAAATAAAATAAAAAGCAAACACCGAGTATATCTCCCTTTACAGAGATCCGTCGTTTCCAAGGGCTATTGCAAACTCTTCAACGATCAGCACGCAATGCAATAGGTCTACGGATATGAGAATGCAAGAATTCTAATGGAAGCAAGATTGAAACTAATATGTCGTAAAGAGTGTTTTGTCGCTAGACTAGAGGAGCGTAGTATTGTGTAATACTTCGCAATCTTTAAAAGTCGCGCGTATCGTGTTCGACACCAACTCAAATTTTCACTCACTTATGTAATCGCTCACTAAGAAGGCAGTTTGATTTATCGACGTAGATGAGGACAAATGGACAAAATCTGAGAGTCGCGAAGGAAAAACAAAGCCTGCCGTTCAATCGGAGGAATTTCAACGAGAGGTACAAGAGAATGAGGTGCAGGGACAAGTGAAAATTGTTGTATATGTGCAGACTTGGAGTCAAAAGATCCAATGTTGCAAGTAAGCGCATCATCTCCTCATTGATTGTTGCATTCTTAGTTCATTTATGCGCTAAATCTCGCACACTTTAATTTAAGCGTCTAAACAATTGCGCGTTTAGGCGTCGACATATACGATAGCATATTTCAACCATGCCTGCACATACGTGTAGTATATGATTATGGTTTTGCTCTAACTATCTTTGGTTGGTCTGAATGAAGTATATGTTATATGTATACTGATTGACAATTTACTTGGACCCCAAACAATAAATTTTTTAATTCTTTTACATAGATTTGTGCAAAATTTGCCTAAATATAGAACTTGACACATATTTGATATATATGTATATATAAGTAATTTGAGCACAAGATAATTGAAAAGTTTGACCTGCATTAACAAATGATCATCAATTTATTGTCAGAGCATTTTGTCTTTTCACGAGCTATAATCAGTCCCAAAAGTGGTACTCTTTATGTGTTTAATTTTTAACAATATGCAATAATTCCCATATTATTTTTGTGACCCGAAGATAATTCTATTCTCCTAAAGATGTGTGAAATAAAAATTAAACTTGCACACATAATATTTGTGTAATTTTCAAGTAAATGTTGAAAGTAGAATTAATATTTAATTATTGATTTGTATATCTAAAAGTTTCACTTTAAAGAAATTCAAGCATAATCATTTGCAAAAAAATTTGATTCATATTTTCATTTATAACCTCATTCTAATTCTTAATAATGACATAAAGTATTTGCATTTATTTTAGTGATAAGAAGTATTCAATTTTTTTACGTTTTAAATCATTGTTTTCATTTTCTAAACTAAAAACTAGTATTACAAGTAAACAATTATATGTATAGAGATAAAAATGTATGATTTGACCTTATGGAAACATGAACTTACTGCATATAAGTAGTTTAGATGATAATTTTTTTATTCAA